AAACCCATTTATAACTTGTAAAGCGGGATTTAGTATTTTCTTAATGTGACTGATGGTTCTAGGAATAAGATGTAACTCCAAATATTAATGTAGGTCATTAATATGTAATGACCCTCTTATTTGCTTATGGTGATGTTTTGAAGCATTTACATTTGTTTTAACTTTATGTGGAAATCTCAGGTTCTATGTGATGTACCCTATATATGTATAGAGAAAGGCCTCTTCATATTATAGTTAGAAGTTTGTGGTCAGAATTAATACAAAAATAATATATGGGCTGGGTTTTTATTTGGTTTTGGTGCTGCCGTGCAGGGGACCAAATCCGTGGCTTTGCACAGTCCCCAGACCAAGGTGATATATCAGAGTATTTTAACTTAATCTAGAAGTAGATGTCTTGAATGTTGGGAGGATGTTTTAAGTACACCTCTTCATATTCATGGTGCTGTGCATCATGTACTATGCTCCTAAGTTTAGTAGGCATTATTTTCTCACGAGTCAACTCTAAATAATTACACTAACTTATCCACCATCATGGAGCCCTCATCTAGTACCTGTTGGAAACAAAAGCAAACACCCATAACTGAATACTGAGTTGAACTAGAATCCAGATGCAGAGAGAGAGGACAAGACCAGGTTGCAGAAACACATAGAGACAGCTGACCTGAACAAGGAGGAGCTAATGGACCCCCAGACTGATAGCTGGGAAACCAGCACGGAACTGACTCAGACCCCCTGAACATGGGTCTCAGCTAGAGGGACTGAGCAGTCTAAGGGACCTCAGACAGTGGAACCAGGATGTATTCCTGGTGCACAAAAGACCTTGTGGACACATCCCCTATGGAGGGATACTACCTTATCCTAGAGACAGGAGAGAAGTCTTAGTCCCTACTTCAAATGACTTGACAGAGTTACATGACCCCACCTGGATGTCATAGCCCTACATGTGGAATGGGGGTGGGGGGATGGGAGGGGACGGTGGTCAGGATGCATGTGAGGGGGCAGAGAGGGTAAGAGGGAGGGAGAGGGAACTGGGATAGACATGTAAAATAAAAAAATAAAAATAAAGAAAAAAATAGTTACATTTGTACTTTTAGCCACCATACTTGAAGAATTATGTCAGAGTAAGTATAGAGACAATAGCATTGGTCATAATGGATTAATATATTTTTTGGTTTAAATTTTATCTGTCTGCAGAACACAGTCTGTTTTTATAGATTGTCAAAATATCATAGTTTCACATTTGATGAGTGAAAAGAATTAATAATGATTCAAATTTTTAGGAAAAGATTATACCTTTTCTCCTGTGAAATGTAGATTTATATGAGTCTTATACACGCACTTAGATGTCATATTTACTCCGAATCGCCAACAAATGCTCATAAGGCCTACTCAGAATTGGTGCAATGGAAATACTTGACACCAGGACCAAGCCATATAGATTGGCGTTGCAATTTCCAACTACATGCTTATATAAATCACATTGTTTATTTTTCTGTCTTGTTTTTATAAAGTTTTGTGGAAGAAAACTAACTACCATGCCTTTTCCTTTTTTTTTTTTTTTTTCTGAAATATTCAAACTTACCATTTTTTTTGGTGGTTTTCTGAGCAACAAGACACACCCTTCTGCTATATAAAACTACCCTGGGGTCTCCCCACCACTGAATTTTCCTCCTTCTGGGTGGGCCTTGATCATTTTCCCTTCTAACATGCTGTACTCTGAATCTGATCTTGCTGTGAGGGCCATGTTCTGACATCCACTGCTGGAACTGTCTTTACTCATCCACATGTCTTCATCACTACAGAATAGCCCAACAGCCATTATTTGGAATTGAAATGTTGCAAGTATGTCCAGCATCCATTTCTGTGTTCTTCAAACAGTAATCCAGTATCTGTTTCATAGAAAATTTATTTTCTCTTATATTTTTGTCTTACTTATATTCACTTTTATAATTACTGCCTGGGTTGTTAACATTGAAAATTCACAAGGTGTTACCAAAATATACCAGTCTTTTAACTGTTAATGCCACAACAACTGTACTCATAGAGACAGCTCTTTATGTGGGAAGTGAGAGAGTCAAGCTCGATATAAGCCACCCCGTGTGGACACAGACTCCAGAATTAAATTCATTTTGTGGCCTATTCTGCCTTGTGATTTCCATGGCAATGAAAATTGAAAACTGAGCCTTTGGTAGGAACTTACTTTTCTTTTGTGGCTAGGTAATTGCTTTCTCATTCTTCATTTCTTCAATTATAGCAACTTCCAGTTTTACAGTCTTACCCACGGCACACAGGTTAATGAACTGCCAGACTTTCCCCATATTGAGAGCTCCTACTGGGTATTTTCCTCTTGAGCCCAACTGGTACTGTATTTGAACCTCCAAGACTATCATTTGTCTCTGATTAAAGATACTGGTGTCCACAAGTACGATTATCATATCCTTTTCACAGTTAAGTTCCTCCTCTTTGACTCTTTATTGAATTAATTCAAAACAGCAACTTTTCTAACCCCTTCTCCCTCCCCACCACACAAACCTTGAACACAAAACCTTGCACACACCTGTGCTGGTCACTCCTATTGGGCTAAACATCCAGTCTTCATATATTCATTTGTGTGTGTGTGTGTGTGTGTGTGTGTGTGTGTGTGAGAGAGAGAGAGAGAGAGAGAGAGAGAGAGAGAGAGAGCATTAGCGTGCCAAGAGAAGGTGTCTAGTACTCGGGCTGGAGTTCAGTCTAGTCATCCCGAACCACCTGAAGTAGGTTCTAGAAATAGAAACAGAGCTCAGGGCTCTGAAGAGCAGGAAGCACTCTTAACCCTCAGCCATCTCTCCAGCACCATTATATTTTTTTATTTTTCAGAAAATGATATAAAACTACAAGTCTTTTCAACTCTATGTGCTTTGACTTTCCAAGCCCCCGTGTTCTTACTACATTTCAGCTTCAGTACAAACTCTCTCTCCTCCTCCTCTTTCTAATTTGGTGATGTGAAAGGAACCGTCAATAGAAATGGGAAGTAATGCTAGAGGTAAAGTTCATTCATAAGCTGAATTGTTTGGGATTTCTACAAGGATATTTCAAGCCCTTGGAAAACAAATAGCAGAGTGTGTTTTAGTGATTATGGAATCTATACAGTGGGGAATATGGAAGAGATGTTTAACATGTAGAACTTTACATTTCTTGCTCTCTAAGAGATGAGAGCATGAAGCATGAAGACAATCCCTGCAGATATGAATGAGTACAAGAGAGGACATCAGAGGACCTGAGATTTTTATGGGGACCAGAGTAATTGTGAGAACCCTGGAAGATCAAGTGAGGTTTAGGAAGCACTGAGGTTTCTTATTGCCAAAGCAGGAAAGAAGAAAAGTGAAATGTCAGAATTATGTTTCTGTATGAGTTGAGACATTAGTTATGGAGCCATTGTAAATCACAGATCTGCCCTCTGTTTCAAATCTTTTAAAATGTTTTAATGCAAAATTGTTCCTGTGATTCATGTTAAAACAATTAATTTTGTTAAGTGGTGAACCATAGGCACTTCCTTCAAGTAAATGAAAAAATGGAACAAAGCATTATGTTGTTAAGAGATGTATCAATTGCATCATCCAAGTTCTTGAAATTTATAGTACAGGATATCTTAAAAAGTAACATACCACATTGTTTCAGAGACTGAGATCAAAGGTTAAGTATTTTAATATTTACAATGTATTATTTCAGTCTTAGCTACAATTTATTCAACAGTGGGGAGTCACTAAAGTTCATTGTAATATTTTTTTGAATTAAAATATTTAGTAATTTAATCTTGTAGACCTTTCATGGTTTGATTCTCTTCCAGGACAGCTCTCCTAGGTTCAGAATTGCAGTCGTACCAATGTGTGTGACTTAACATGTATCCCTCGTTAGTGTGACTTCTGCCATCCTGGGGTTCCTTGTGCTGGGAGCTAGTCTATTTTTCCCGGACTGCTATTTTATACTTCACTTATTTTATGCACCATAGAATATTTGGTATTCAAATTGTTGAATAAATTTTATAATAATGCCCTGGTTCTGCTTGCTTAGCCTTCTTAATGTATATACTATCAAGAAATGTAATGAAACCCCTGCAAATATCCCATTCCACTGGGCTGTAATCAAATCAAATTATGAAAGAAATAGTTCTTGCTTTCACCAAGCTTAAGAGAAGAACATCTGGGCCCCTTTATAGAACTCAGGCATCATCCTGCCTGGAATACCAGCTTAATTCCAGTATCTCTGGTGACTTAATGACAATGACAACAACAAAGTGAATACAACTGCAGAGTGATCTATAGAACATCCTAGGGACCATGTTCACAGCATTGTTTTCAATATTAGCTTTCAGAATATCCCAGTGTAGAACTGGGTGCACAGTTACATCGTGGACAGAAGCACAGCTTCTGTGAAAAGCAACAACAGTGCTCAGACATTCACCATACTCCAGGCACTCTGCTGGATGTCCTTAGTGCCTCTGTCATTTATGCATGCCTCTGTATGTAAGGTAGGAAGTGCTAGCAATTGCCTCATATTCATGAGTGTAGACAGTGCCTGTGTTAGTTAGCACATGTATGACAAACTGGATGTTAGAGGCTAAATTCTGGGTGTGTATATGTTTGCGTATGTTGTGACAACTTCCTGCTTACCTGCTCAGCTTATGATCTTGGGTTTGATTGTACCTTTTTCTGGTTGTAATTTTTTCATTGTTAAATATGTTATCAAGTGGCCTGGTTGTTTTGCCTGGCTGGACCTATTGGGTATAATAAAAATTAAAACATAATAGTATAATATATTTGAAGACTATCAACTATGTTTTTCACTTCTACTTATAATTTAGTGTGGGCCCTGATACAGCCATTAAAAACAAAGAAAATATGAGTTGATAATGCCATCTGATTTCACCTGCATTTTCTGTTGGTGAATCACTTCTACGTTACGTTTTCTCAAGTAAAAGAGAAGCCCATTGTTTCACAGGTTTGATTGCTTTTCTTTTCCAGGTGCAACAATCGAACGCAGTGTGTAGTAGTTACCGGGTCGGATGTATTTCCTGATCCATGTCCCGGAACTTACAAATACCTTGAAGTTCAATATGAATGTGTCCCTTACAGTAAGTATGAAGTTTGTATTTTCTCCTTCCTCCAGCGTTCCATGTTGGAGCTGAAAGACTACACATGTGAAAGAAGGGAATGTTTATGGCCTACAAAACCATTATGCATGCAAAGCGCTCCCAGACTCGGGACTCCAATTAGCTTCATGAAGTGTGGAAGGAAGCCATAGTGTGAGGCTGGCCAAGTGTCTGTCTGTGTTCTTAAGTGTTTGGCTTTTAAGGCTAGTGTTTTTCCAGAAAACAAACTTGAATTAGCTATTCAATAGGGCAGATAGAAATCTGTACTTTTGCCCAGTACCCGTTGCTGACAAATTGGTTTGGCTCACAGTTTTCTGAAGAAGGAATTGACTTGCTTTCTAGTCGTGAAGAATTTGAATGGCTACCTGCTGTCGTGGTAACGTGAATGATTGGGTAAAAAGCTACCAGATCAGAAACTGAGGCAGGAGTTCCCTTTCTTTCACGTCCTGGAAGGAAGCAATTCTTTACCAGATTCACTGAGGGAATCTTAATGCTTAAAACAAAGCCAAGAGTACAGACAAATCATCCAAAAGTCTTGTTCCTGTTTCCTCTTTTAAACTGTTAGCATCATGTTTAAGATCTTGCAGGAGACTTAAAAATCCAGTTGGAAAATTTGTGAGTAGATGTCAGTAATTTCCTTCCAGTTTCAGAATGCATACTTACCAATTATTTTCATAACCTGGATAGGGTAGAAAATACCTTAGTAGTCTCGACAATCTAAAAATTTGAATATATTGCCTAATTGTCACAAGCTAATTTATTAGTCCTCCCCCCTTTCCTTTTTTAAAAGTGGGATGAAAAATTAATGTCACAGTAGTGCAGAGACATTTGAAATGAGAGTTTTTGATCAATATTTTTCACTGATTTCAGAAACTTTTCTATACTTTAAACCCAACCAACAACCAGAAAGTCCCAAACAGTTGGAGCCGGATGCTGTTGTATAGATTTGCCTGTAGCCCCATTTCTTTGTAGGGGCATAGATGATTGAACGCATTCTGGCCAACATAGGGAGACCCCACCTTAACACAGAAACACCAGAAGGCCAAATTCTGATGAATAAATGGGCAGATCCAAAAAGGTCATGACACATTCTAGCATATACTGTGGAGAGACGTTCTGTCCTCTCTGCCACAATTTTCATAAATCGATTTTGTGTGTATGTGGTGTCAGTTAAAGGCCAAACACAGATTATCTTTTTCTTCTCGTCCCTGCTCTGTGTTCCTGTGTTACGTGAAACCTATGCGCTTTGTGTTTTCAGTAACTTCTGGACCATTTGTAGGACTGGAAACCCCCGAGTGAGCTGTTCTGTTAAACTGTTGCTCCTGTGTGGTACGGTGGCTTTACTTAATCACTCCCCTGCGCCACTGGAGAAACATTGTATTCTTTTGAGCTAACCAACATTTTTGTTCCACAAAGTCCCTCTCCCTTGAATTCAGCCTGGTTTCTGTCCTCAAACTAGACAAGGAATACAGCATCAATTCCCAAACTGTGGAATCAGTCAGAGCTGTCAAGAATTGCCTTTCTGCAACCTGGTCCCTGTTACCTAGTCTCAGACACAAAGAACAGTGTTAAGCAAATATTACTTACAGACTCCTTAAGTAATTTCTTGCGCTGTTTAAGAGAAAATGTGGATACCTTCTGGAACGTCTAACTTTCAAAATTTTACTTTTTCAGTTCTCCAGAAGTATTGTATATTGTGCACTAAACTTGCAAATAGCTGTACTCAGAGAAGTATTTGCTTCTGTTTTTAATTTAGTTTTTGTCCTTCAAAATAAAAAAAATAAACCCATAATTAATTTGCTGTTGCTTTTCTAGATGTTTGCAAGAGGCAGAAATAAGTCTATGACATTTTTTTTTTCCTTTTTGAAGAATAGAAGTGGGTGTCCTTCCTATATACCGTACAGTGGTGACACACTATGCAGCCTGCCACAGCTCATGCTAAAATGCAGTGCACAGCACTCTTAGGTTGCTCTGATCTTACATAGTTCCTCACTTTTCCTATTCTTCCTTCTTCTCTTTCCTTATGCTCCTGCCTGGGATATCCTCCCCTCACATTCACTTTTATTTTAAGGACCCGGCTTTGACCATTCCTTGTTTTAACAATGTATTTGCTTTTCTGTAGCATTTACATAACCCTTTCTCACATTACTTAGACTCAAAAAAAAAAAAAAAAAAAAGTCACCCTCATACTCAAAGATTATCATGCACACCTTAACGCTTAGCTTAATGCCAATCTCTATCCATAACAAATCTTCCAGGAGCGGCCTACACTCCACAGTGCCCCATTGTGTTCTAAACGATTTCAAAGTTTCCATGACTGCAGAAAGCATCCACTAAATGCACACAAGCAAAGGACATTAGAAATGCCACTCTTCAGTTTCAATTGAAAACAGGCAGGTACATTGTATGTGCCCCTTTTACACCTGTTCAGGCAACGTGCATATCAAAATTACACACATGCAGGGCATTCTTTGTTGTGTGTAAGATGTAGGTATTTCACCATGTAAACGTGGCATTAACACATCATTAGGGACCTTAGGGAGAAAAGGTCCAGTTCAGATTAGACTTCACATCCTATAAACAGGCATTGCCTTTCAATCTTGTGCCTACTTATTTCAAATTGCCACAGTATGTAAGGATTTTATCCTGAAGTTACCTACAAGTTTTCTCATTTGATGAGTACATTGCATTAATGTTGATGAATTAAATTACTATTGATTAATAAATGTGAGATTATTTCAAATGAAATAGTGTGTCACTTCAGATACAGAGTATGTAGGCTGTAGTCAATTTGGGTCTGTTTTCTGTCTTGTACTTCTGTGGAGTCCTCTGCTGATGTTGGTGGGTGTGTATTTGTGTGTTTGGTCCGTAGAATACTAAATATATCCTTATAATTTATTCATATAATCTCTTAAGACAATTTGCATATATTTGGCATGAGATTACAAATGCAGATTTTTGTTAATTTTATTGTATTTTTTTTTTTTTTTGTATTCTTCTGGTAGAATTTTGGCTGATCTGATGATATTATAAAAATCTTCATATGGAGATTTTTCTTTCCTTTTAAAGATCCATCCACCAATCATTGAAGGTTTTGTTTACTTTATTTAAAAAATTTTACCATTGGATGTAATTTCTCAGTTTTCATTGGATACAAATTGTATAAAAGTCATACCCATTCTCTTTTCCTTTATGTGGTATGGTTTAAATAATAAATAAATGAAGTAATTTCTGTTTATGGTTTGCTTACTGACTGCACTGTAATTTTACTATGTCAAATAAAAATATTCCAGGGATCTCCAGTGAATGAACAATACAGCATGCATTTCCTTATTTTTTTTTTTTTTATTGAACAGACGTTTAAGCTCTCTTGTAGTAAGTAAGCACTGTAAGAAGTAGTATTCCCATCCTTTGTACTAATTGCTTTATGTGAATAAAATCGTTGTCTCGTTAAGGAACAATGTGGCTGTCTATAAAAGCAGTCTGAGCATCCTCTACACTAATACCCTCTTTTACCCTCCTTCTTACACCATGCCCGAGCATTATTGATTCTGAGCAGGTGATGTTAGGACCAAATGCTACGGAAACAAGCGTTGCTTCCAAAGCAGCACTCTGCACTTGTCCTGTCTTCCCCTCACACAGTCAGAAGCATACCAATCACAACAAGTGTGTCTCCTGAAAGGGCTTAAACAGACCACATTGCTTAAGCAGGTTGTGGCTTAATTTAGAAACTATATGCTGTTGCTATGGCAAAAAAAAATTTTTTTTTAAATATTTGTGTAATGTTTCTCTCGAAGGAGTTCCAGAAGGTCACTGTTTTATCTTGACGAGTAATTATAATTCTAAGGAATATGTAATCAAGCTGAGATTGTAATATAATGTGCAGCTACACTCCGAATAATCAGCAGTCATGCACATTCTGGTGCATTTTAAAAGAGCAGAAGAGGAAGCACTGAATGAGTGGAGTTGTTTTTTTAACACTCAGACAACATACTGGAGAGCTTACATTGAATGTAAGGCTTGCCTTGAGTGGGTCCTCACTGTAGCATGAGACTGCGTGTCAACTAGGATCCTATTGCACCTTCCTTGGTGCATAATGTACTTCCATAACCACACAGGGAGGGTTTCTCCCTGCGCTTGCTCTCATGTCCTGCCTGGGCCAGGTCTGCCCTTTGAAAGCCTTTCCCTTTTACCGGGTCTGTGGATCAAGATACTTGCTACGATTGCTGGGTATGACAGTTGTTGCATGTGGGCTTGCTCTCTGTGTTGATAAATGAAAGTAGGAAACTGTGTCATGATGAGCTAACCGTGATTCTTTCTTCCTTTTCTTCCCTGCCACCTGTGCTTGCTTTTCCCTTGTATGTATTTTGCTTACTTATTTTTAAATAAACTTAATATTACAAGTTTGATAATGCATATTATATATAATATAGAAAAGTAAATGAAAAGTATGTAATGTAAACTATGAGCAACCTTAAATACATTTGCTAATACTTAAAGGACATTATCTTACCCCTTCAAAAATCCCTATTGGGTGAGGGGAGATTTATTATTTCTGGAAAGGGGGCATTTTGTTAAATGTTTTAAGATGGTTTTTTCTAAAAATAGGAAATAATAGAAAAATGGTTGACTTATAGTGAGATGCATGACTGGGTAGTTACTTCTCATCTAAGTATCTTTGGGGAAATGTAGCCATCATGATATTTATTAAATTTGAGTTAAACTGTAAAGTCAAGTTGTCAGTCTTATAAATGCATTTTCCTGCCATGCTTATATAATTAGAGTCAGTTTGATAATTAAGCTCACACAGACCAAATGGAGATGACATCCCTGTGCATGCTTTTATGTCTGTAGTGTACGTATATAAAGGAAAGTTCGGTCAGAATGCTGCGTGGCTTTGGCAAGGCTAGAGTATGTTTAGCTTGCATTAGTAAGAGTTTCATTATTTATTCAGGCACACTAAGTGAAGCAGCATGCCAACTTATTTGTCTTGCCTCCTTAATCTACTAAAATGATTGATCCGTGTTCTTTTATGTAACTTTAGAATCTCTCTCCTGCTAGGTTCTCCTGTGTGTTTCTCTTTATCCAAAGTAGTACAACTTCCTTATTCTTCCTATATTTAGCATCTATTACGAATTCAATCTTAGACTAATAGTCAATTTATTTTTAATCTTTTTTTTTTCTTTTTTTCCTTGCACTTTTTTTTATTTTTTTTCTTCCGATGCTTAAAATAGAAGTGGAGCAAAAAGGTAAATAATGTACACAGTCTCAACCCCAGCTCCCTGTTATGTGCCTTATGGATGTGACCCTCCTCCCTCCCCTTCCCTGCAATACTCCTGTATTAAATGATCAGCAGGACCTCATATCGCACCTCATAAAGGCGTCAGCTGTTCACACTGAAATTGTATGGCTGTTAAATCTGGCGATGGGGTAAAATTCTGAAGTCGGCGAAGGGAAGCTGCCCTTTCTGTTTCTTTTCTACCTGCTATCTCTTTCTCTCACACCCTTGGATATTTTCTTGTTACTGAAGTGTCATCTTGCCTGGCTTCCAGAACCCTCTCCGTAGCATGCCATGGTTACAGGGTCTCCTGGCCATCATCTCACCATGCTTCCCTTGTGTTGACTTTCTCCACTCCCGATTGCACCTCCTAAAATTTATATTCTCCAACTTGAAGCACCTGTAACTTCTATAAAAAGCTCAAAACAAGTCTTTGCATTGAGTTTCCTGCTTTACTGGCCTTATTTTGTGGGAGGCGTTAAAGGTGAATGAGGGGTTAGAAGTCATAGTGTTTGGGTTGGAATTAAATACTTATCCACGCTTAGGCACAGGGTTCGAGATTTGACGCATGCATTTCTAAATTATTAGATAAAATGACAATTTAGAAATATAAATTTATCTCAGTATGAGTGAGCCTAAACTTAGGTTTGTATTTGTGAAAATAAGTGCCAGCTGCTATGTACACTGGTACCTTGATTAGAAAAACTTTGGGAAACAAGGCTAGTTATGTATAAAACATAAACTCCTAAAAATTGAGTGCTGAATAAAATGAGTTTTCCTCTTCTGATTTTATGATCAATAAAATGTGTGATTACCTGTGCCATTTTTTTTTTTTTAAACTTTGTTCACTTCTTGTCTTTTCTCTGTGACTGTTAGTTTTTGTGTGCCCTGGGACCTTGAAAGCAATTGTGGACTCACCATGTATATATGAAGCTGAACAAAAGGCAGGTGCTTGGTGCAAGGACCCACTTCAGGCTGCAGATAAAATATATTTTATGCCCTGGACACCTTACCGCACCGATACTTTAATAGAATATGCTTCTTTAGAAGATTTTCAAAACAGCCGCCAGACAACAACATACAAACTCCCAAACCGAGTAGATGGTACTGGATTTGTGGTGTACGACGGAGCTGTCTTCTTTAACAAAGAAAGAACACGAAATATTGTGAAATTTGACTTGAGGACTAGAATTAAGAGTGGCGAGGCCATCATCAACTACGCCAACTACCACGATACATCGCCCTACAGATGGGGTGGGAAGACTGATATTGACCTGGCCGTGGATGAGAATGGCTTATGGGTCATTTATGCCACCGAGCAGAACAATGGGATGATAGTGATTAGCCAGCTAAACCCATACACTCTTCGATTCGAAGCAACGTGGGAGACGGCGTACGACAAGCGCGCGGCATCCAATGCTTTCATGATATGCGGAGTTCTCTATGTGGTCAGGTCAGTGTACCAAGACAACGAAAGCGAAGCAGGCAAGAACACCATCGATTACATTTACAACACTCGGTTAAGCCGGGGGGAGTACGTGGATGTTCCTTTCCCCAACCAGTACCAGTATATTGCCGCAGTGGATTACAATCCCAGAGACAACCAGCTCTACGTATGGAATAATAACTTTATTTTACGGTATTCTCTGGAATTTGGTCCACCTGACCCTGCCCAAGGTAAGAACACTTGATGTCCGTTCTCTGTCTTTTGTATTACTTCCTTTCAAGGGGCTTCTGATTTTTTTCCCAGTGGTTTTCCTTCTTCTCTTGGTTAAACCACAAAGGATGATCTGGTATATTGCAGCCCCATTCTGCATAGTTTTCTTCCACTCAGTATTTTAAATGTTGACATAAAGAAATGATAGCATTGCTCTGTTTAGCACTTCGCTGCTAAATGTACAGTAACTCCTGCAAATCTGTTAACGCTTCTCTTCCTTACCTGTTCTGAGCTGATTACAGTGCATTCTCAGACCTTTAACCTTCTTGGCACCAGTGGTTAAGGGAAATGTGTGTTAGGACGTCCCAAGAGAATGGCTATGTTTGACATGCATGGCCAGGGTTACATGTTCTGGAGTTTTGACATCTGTGCTCTGGATAAGAGAGGGCATCTTTAAACCTCCTTTTCTATTATGATTCCTTGCTCAGTCCGGATTGGGGGGGGCAGGGGTGAGGGCCTTGTTCCTGTCTCAAGGGATTGTGACAGACTTTGCTGGTCCCCATGAGAGGCCTCAGCCTGTCTGAGGAGTGGATGGGGTTAGGTAGAAGGTGGAGAAAGTGGGAAGATAGCGGGGAGAGGGAACAGGGATTGGTATTTAAAATAAGATTGTTTTAAAATAATAATAATAATACTGATAGTAAAAGAAAATATTGCACACTTTCATTTCCTGATAACTAATAGCCATTTTAAGTCAGTGTTTCTGTTGCTCAACCTGAAACTCATAGATGATATGTTTTACATAAGCACAAATGATTCTTGATAATTCTGCTAGCGATTTCTTGACTTGCGTCAAGATGGAACATTGTTTTGGAAAGTAGTGTTAAATCTTTAGAAATATAATTTGATTTATCAAGTGATTTCAATGATAAATAAGATTCTGTGTATAATTATATTAATATTTTAGTTAAAAAGAGATGACCTCATACTCAGGGGAAAAAAAAGAGTAACTTGTTAATAATTATTATGGAGTGTGTACTAATTGTGTCTTTTCTAATGAATGATGTTTGTAGGCTTAAGGAATAAGTTAATATTTTATTCACTGAGTAAATTAAGAGTTTGTAAATTTAGAAGTTACTCAAACATTTTCAAACTTAAAAGTTTGTGAAATGAAATGATGACATTAATCTCTTCACCGAGGTGAGACACTCCTGTCTGTTAAAGCGCTACAGTTAGACATATTCACTTTCTTTAACATATAAACACTTCTCTTTAGATTTGTTATTAATAAATTCTAAACATTGTTTTATGGCCAGAACCTTAAAAGGGGAAACTAGAGCTTTTTATAATTGAATTTCAAACTTGAGTCTTCATAGAATACTAAAATATGTGTTGAGTTTTACTTGTAAAAGAAAAATCATTGGCAGTACACTGATGAATCATGTGTGCCTGGAGAGTCTTGGCTTAAAAATGAGTCTGTAAAATCTGTTGTTAAAATTTTCAGGAGCAAAATCCCCTTTAACAGCATAAATCTTTGCTGATAGCCTCTTAACATCATTTGTTTTTAAAGTATGTGATGTCTGTTTCTCTAGCGGCTAGCTGTTTGGGATGCTTGGTGCATCTTAATTTTTCTAAAAGTTACCACAGTGCTTCTGTTTCATCCTTCCAGTCTTGCAAAAGGTAGACTTAGTCACTGACAAGCTTCGGGCATTGGATAAAATTGTATTGATCCCTACTTCACCTTTTTTGTGGGCTGCTCCACATTGGCAACTGTTACATTTGTTTTGTGTGTCAGGGAGTTGAGAGAGAGGGAGAGAGGGAGAGAGAGGGAGAGAGAGAATACCTTAACGACTGCTAATTCCTAACAAGGCAATATGGAAGGGACCAGATGAGAAGGGTGTATAGTGTGAAGATTGTTTTCACTGAGTACAGATTCCATTCACCATAACACAATGACCCACTTTCTAGTCTCAAAATGCCTCTTTAATATGAGGATAGGCAACAATGGCTTTCCCCACATGTGATCTGTGTGCTAATGTATGTTGTGGTGCAACTCCAGTAAAGAAGGCATTGGTATCATAGGTGTTTTTCAGAAAGAGCCCTTACTAGTTTCAAAATGAGACACGCAGCAAGTGAGCTTTCCCAAGACAGTGTTTTATCATTCCAAATAGTTAGCCCATTCTTCCATATTCCCAGAACATACAAATTCATATTGACCCCTTATTAAACCCTAAGTAATAAACCATTTTACCTGGCCTACATTTTTCTTGATGCTGATTGACCCATATTCTTATTCTCTCTCCTCATAATGTATCTCCTTTGGCTTCTAGAGACGCATCCTTCTCTTGTGAGGTGTGTGCTCTATATACGCCTAGAGGCGGTGTCTCACATAACTATACTGGCCCATAGATTTAGGTCAAACTATTAAGTTGCATTCAACTTTGGAGAAGCAAGACTTGAGAAATTGATAAGGCTAGGGGACTGAATAACCAGAACTGGGTCTTTGCCTTCCATAAACCAGCAGCCCAATTGCGTAGCTAAAATTCACACATAAGTCTTAATGGACTGGGTTCCTCAGGAGAACAGTTTACAGGATTAAGAATAGCCTACGCTGTATATAACAAACAAAACAGTAAAAACAACAACAACAAAAACAAAAAAAAAAATGGTTTCATGGGCTGTGGATTGTATGTGGTCAAGGGTATGAAGGATGCTGGGAAGATATCTGTTATGTCCCTGTGCATTGTTCACGTTACTAGCTCATTACATCCAATACTCTTCTCAATTTTACATCAACCCTTTTTACTTTGTCATGATACAAGTATGTTATTTCTTTCTGCTGACCTTTTAAAATATTTGAATATTTATCTTTTGTTTTCCACTATGAGGCCTTTTCTTTGTTAGCTTATACTACTTCCAATTTTCCCTCTTTCTCTCTATCTAGAATAGATCTCACAAAAAACACTTTGGGTCTATTTTTAACTCTTCAGTCTATCCATATAAGTTGATATTTTTCATCTTCCTACAGATATTACATCTCAAATATTAACAACAAAATAGTATTACCTTAGTCAGTGTGGAGGATTTTCTGAATATTTGTTTCTTTTGACTCTCAGAAGTCTGAATTCTGCAACAAAAAATTATGGTTCTAAGCAAAAGAGCCAGTTTTGTTATGGTCATAAACTATTCAATATGTCACATTTTCTGACCATTGTTCCACTGATAGTTAATGGCAGGCAGAATCATTTTCTACTCTTTAAAGTCTTCCTGGGTGCCAAGCCAATATCTTCACTAGTACTGGTCCTTTGGTGCCACTCAAATGATGCACAGTATGCAAATTGCTAAGTCAAGTCCAACTCTATGCTTCCTAGGAGGCCCTGAAGAACAGATCCCTATAAAAGGGTTGGTATTCACATCACTATCTGTTTTGGGTTGCTCTTCTAGAATATTCTCAAAATTTGGTCCTCTCGTCATGTTCATGATGCAACTTGCTCTCCCATAGTCCGGAGTAAGGGCAGATTACTTTGTAGGACTCTGTCCTTTCTCGGTCTTTGAACAGCCTCTTACCTAGAAAGATATGTTCAGATATCCAAGAGGATATGCAAGTGACCTTAAATCAATCACCTGACTTCCCATGGCCGTATGTGTGAAAAGATTCCCGTATGTGTGAAAAGATAATTTGTACTTGCTTCACGGAGCAGTAGTAAGACTTGTTTTATTGATCCAGGTTGTTGATTGTCAGGACTTCTGGCTACAACTGCTGAATAAATACCATCTTTTTATCACTGCGAGATGCCCCACTGGCATTTGTCTCCATTTGTGGAAAGAGAGTATGATTTTTAGAAAGACATCTTCAATGTGAAATACAAAAACTTATTCCTTGAAGTATCACTAATTTCTGTCTTTTGAAGTCCCCCAAATTCAAGTTGCTCCCTATGGTTTAGTATATTTGCAAGAAACATATGAATGCATGGCTGTACCCTGCTACACAAGTCCTGTGAGATCATGCTTATTCCTTGCTGACACTCAGAACTGTGATATTAATTTGTATTTGAGTGAGCCCATGTACCCCGATTAGTATAGTGTAAAAAGTTGCATAAGAAGTATAAGTTGAGCCAAGCAGTGGTGGTGCATGCCTTTAATCCCAGCATTCAGGAGGCAGTCAGGCAGATCTCTGAGTTCGATGCCAACCTGGTCTGCAGAGCGAGTGTCAGGACAGGCTCCAAAGCAATACAGAGAAACCCTGTATTGAAAAACCATAAAAAAATGTAAGTCCAAACCATTTAGTTGTGCCCTTTCTCAGTTCCCTCTGATTCCTAGCTCCCTCTTGATTCAGCAGCAGTCATTCGACACGTCTGATGCTCTGACAAATGTTAATTGAGGAAGCTCTGAAAGTCTAGCTGCATTGTAATCAAAAGAAAATTACACAGGTTTAACAAGATGTCAGGAGGGAACCTTCAGAGACAGAGACAGACAGGTTTGAAGAGTTTCCCGCAACAGCTGGCTAGGCATGTTATTTGACTGATGTACATAGACGGCTCTCATACGACCAATCATTTTAGCCTAGAAATAAAACACATGCTTAGAATTTTCCCATTGAGATGGGAGGAGGAACCAAAGTGTAGTGTATTTAATGACAATGTCACACCTAAAATCCCTAACTTAGTATGATCTCAACTGTTAAGAACTACATAAGTACTTGTAGGGCAGGGCCTAAAATGTTAAATGTAATAATAGTGAATTTGAATGTATTTTTTAATACTCAGTATTGTGGCTTGTTTCTTGTGTATAGGTAAAATGCAAAATTAATGGTTTTTAATTGATACTTGTTTACTGTACATAGTGATAGATTTCACTAAGCTTTTTATTTGAGCAATCTAATGTTAATATTTTCATAATACAAGAATAACGTATGTGTGTAATTTAAATTTGAGGCAACCTCTATATAAGATTTCAAGAATAAATTTGTAATACCTGTAAATATTAATAAAACTTTTAGATATTTTTCTAACAGATTTTCAATGATAGTAAAGTTTTGTTAACAGATTCTTTTTGATGCTTGTTATTAACGAAGAAAAACGTTGGGTGCTGTTTTTTAAAATCTAGTAGTTAGCAATGTTGGGGGACCAAAAAAAAACTTTCCTTAAAATGTTTTTTTTTTTGTTGTTTTGTTTTGGTTTGAAATGTGTAACTATAGTTCCTTTACATTCTCTGCTAAGGATCTGTGATATATGAAAGGTTGATTTTTTTGAATTCATGATCTGTTCTAACCCCTGTCTGGACACAAAACTACATGGTGAGCTCTGCACTTTCAAACCCATCTTTGCAAAGTAAAGATGCCAAACCCAGAACAGCGTGAGCGTGCCAAACTTATTTTCTGTTTGGATGTAATCAGGCATGCTCAAAAATCCCTCAAGCAAGAATGGCTGCTGGCTGGAAAGATGTCAGTGTTTGTTTTCCTGCAGGATGTGGAATGGGTGACTTCAAATCTTTTTATCATCCTAATTATCCATAATTGTCAGAGGGTTTTTTTTTTTCTTTTTTTTTTTCTCTCTTGATCTTTTGCGTTTGTTGATAAAGTCTGTTTGTATAATAGAATCTTCCTGCACTGCCTTCGTGTGTTTACCGCTTTATATTGTGATTGCACTTAAGTCATGTGTTCATATTTCACTGAGAGCTGAGCTACCATTAACTTACATTGGTCATCTTTTAACCTTATGAATAAATTATAATAGAAGTTATTTTTTTTCTTCTTCTCCCTCCCTACTATAATTCTGTTCGTTGATTTGGGATATATGGATGGGTGAAGGTGTGTGTGTGTGTGTGTGTGTGTGTGTGTACGCGTACATTCACATACTTGGGGCTGTAGGTGAGCATGAGGGTGTGTTTGAGATTAATAAACTCATCTTTTTTTCATAGTGCCTACCACAGCTGTGACAATAACTTCTTCAGCTGAGCTGTTCAAAACCACAGTGTCAACCACAAGCACTTCCCAAAGAGGCCCCGTGAGCACCACAGTAGCTGGACCCCAGGAAGCAAGCAGAGGGACAAAGCCACCGCCATCAGTTTCTACAACCAAAATTCCTCCTGTAACAAATATTTTTCCCCTGCCAGAGAGATTCTGCGAAGCATTAGACGTGAGGGGGATAAAGTGGCCTCAGACACAGAGGGGAATGATGGTTGAACGGCCCTGTCCCAAGGGAACGAGAGGTATTTTCCTGCCATATATTATACGATACAATGTATACATTTGAGGTTTTATTAGTAGCTTCTAAATGACTCCGAAGCCGTTTCATTAGAGGCAGATATTTACAATAGCCAATCTCATTAGTTTGGTCCGTTACAAATACAAATACTTTTTTTTTTTCACAATGTAAGGGTTGTAAACTACCAAAGTCAGCTGAACAGTGGTGGCCCATGCCTTTAGATCCAACACTTGAGAGGTAGAAGCAGGTGGATCTCTGAGTTCAAGGCCAACCTGGTCTACAAGAACTAGTTCCCAGACATCTGGTGCTATTTTGCTTTGGGGAAAAAAATAATAATAAAAACAAAACCAAAAAAATAATAAAATAATAAATAATAAAATAATAAAAACAAAACAACAAAGTCACCAGAGATTAGGCACAGATTGAACTTTCATATTACCTATGTCAAAACTGAGCCTTCCCGCCAGGCCTCCAGCAAGGCTCGTTTCTCATTATAACCATCACTTTGTACAAGTCCCAAGAATATCAAGGGTTTTTTTTTTTTTTTTTTGTGCTCCAAATGTCTCATGCTGCTATGCGGACTTTTTGTGCTTATTGTTTAGAATCTTTTGCATAACATCTTTTGTCTATTATTCCCAACTACCTCTATTAGCAGTTTTTTTCAAAATTTAACACACAGTCTAGGTCATCACAAAAGTTTGCTGGAAAAAAATGGCTTCAGTTTCACCGTCACTTCCTGAATCTGTTGCAGGAACAGCCTCGTATCTCTGCATGGCTTCCACGGGAACATGGAACCCAAAGGGCCCGGATCTTAGCAACTGCACCTCTCACTGGGTGAATCAGCTGGCTCAAAAGGTTAGAATGTTTTGATGTGATATGTTGATTGAGGGTTTGAAGTTCTAACATAAATTATTTAGTTTTCTGTGTTAAACTAGGCTCTGTCGTTCTTTGTTCAACATAAACATTTTTTTTTTGTTTTTGGGTTTTTTAACCCCCTTTAAAGCATAGTTTTGTCTGTAAACTAGTCATTGAATGTTAAATTTGTTTGGGGGTATGCTGTGGTCTGTGTTAAGCTGTTTAACAAACGCATATTCGTTTAATTTCACTCACATTTAGTTTGTTCTGGTTCCTTTGATGTTTGTAAGGCAGATAGTGTATTGGCCCAATAAATCAAGTATCATTAAATTTGCAACTGAACCCACAGAATGCAAACAGATGTTTGTATCACATACAGTTACAACACAATGAGTAAAAATGACCCTTTAAAAGGCCTAGAAATCATTCCCTGGATTTTCACATTGTAATATAAGGACTCTTAATATTTTTTTTCTACCATCTACCTGTTTTGAAATATGGATATTAGGTGGTAATTCTGTCACCAAGAATTATCTGTTGTCTGATGTAAACTCGGTGTCATTGGCGTAAATTTTAAAAAATTAACAGTAAAGTAGGTTATAGGAAAAAGGAGAGCCAACTGAAAAACAAAATTTAAAGGATGTCTCTCTTCCCTTTTGTTTCTTTTGTGGTGTGTGTGTGTGTGTGTGTGTGTGTGTGTGTGTGTGTGTGTGTGTCCGGTTAAGCATTTAAGAGTGTTAAGGATCTAAAAAGCCTTTAATCTTCTAAGATGAAGAGAAAGTTATTGGTCTCAATTAGATGCAGATTTTGACATATTTGCAATTTTTCCCCTACCACAATAGAGGGGTTTAAAGAGAACTAAAAGCCACAGCCAGAAAGAGTTTTACTGAGATAATACAAATTGTCCTTTCAGATCAGAAGTGGAGAGAATGCTGCCAGTCTAGCCAACGAACTGGCTAAGCACACCAAGGGGCCTGTGTTTGCAGGGGACGTGAGCTCTTCAGTGCGGCTGATGGAGCAGCTGGTGGACATCCTGGATGCTCAGCTGCAGGAGCTGAAGCCTAGTGAGAAGGATTCTGCTGGGCGGAGTTATAACAAGGTAGGGCCTCTGCCTCTGAAGGACATGCATGGGTCTGGGTGTAGCAGCCCCCTGCCCTTCAACCCTGGGCTGCCAGGCACCCAGACACACACGTAGAGGCCTAATTTCCCAGTTTGTTCGTTTCTCAGGACGCTTTACTGAGAAAGTAGCAATGCTCTCCTTCCCCTTGAAGTTCTAAACGACACCAATTGTAACAGTTTTAGTTAATGGTGACTTGATCCATCTGAATGTGGTCAGTATTCTTGCATTAGCATTCGTAGCTAGAGCGATGATAGGACTCGTGTTGGCAGAATTGTTTGAAAACATGCAGCTCTCCATGCTTGAAACAAAGTTGTGACACACAGTGGAGTTAGTGGCAGCTTTGGGGAGAAGGATGTATCCCTCTTCAGAGTGCTGAGCACACCACTAAGCTTTCCTTACCAAGTCTCAGTGCCACTCGCCGAGCTGTGTTTATAGTATATCCATGTTCACATGTTCAAATCCAGAATTAGTCACAGATAAGTTGACTGTTATTTTTTAACAACGCTATATACATATATTCTCTCCTTTTTCTATTTCAAGAATTAAAAAAAAAAATGATACTTAACAAGATAGAGCTGGAAACTAAAGAGACAGCTTTGACTGTGAATGGAATTGCCCAGAGATCTGTAGCTAGTCAACTTGGAATTCAGGAACACCAATTTAATTTTTGAGGATTGCTTCTTTCCTCGTTTTTCTTTTTCTTTTTTTTTTTTTTTTCCCAACAGATAAAATCTAACCTCTGATTTTCTTTTCTTTTACTTAAAAGCTCCAAAAACGAGAGAAGACGTGCAGGGCTTACCTTAAGGTATCTTTCCTGTGCTGCCCCTGCTTTCTACCTTTGTCGGCTGCCTGCCACGCTAATTGCATGACTCAGAAGTTTCAGTCTTTGATAATAATATAATGTGCCCCACATCAGCTGTACAAATGTTGGCATGTCTCAGAAAGAAAACAGCCAGTAATATTTTACTTATTCTTTGGCTGTTTTCCCATTCATCCAAAAAAATACAGTAACTTTAATGATTATCCTGTGAATTGGAAGAAAACATGTAGTAGTCCCTTTTGTTTTCTCTTGTCATCCCTGCGGATTCAGTAACCTGGAACAGCTATGATATATTCCTGGCGGTTTATCCTATCAAAGACTGTACGGGCATCATATACGTGCATGTCAAAGTCACTGCTTCTGATCTCTGGGGTGCACTGTTCAGGAAGTTAGGCTCTGTCCTGGGAATTCGCTTCCAGATGTAGGGTGCTGAGAACAGGTGCGCAGACAGGAAATGTGAGCACCGTGACAGTGGTTCAGGTGTAAGATCGGTGGGAGATCTTTTCAGGCTCTGCAGAGCAGAGAGACACTTCTGTGCTGTGTGTGTCACTATTTCTTCCTAGCACTTTGCAATGATACAGCAGCACGCCCAGGTTCCCCGTGCAAGTGAGCCAAACTAATTCTGTTGTATTTTAGTTTGCTCTATAAGTTAGAAGTCCCTTGCTGTTGCGGAGAGGGAGTTAGTTATTAGCCTGGCATGTCTAACCTCAAAGGACAAACCAAAGAACTTCTGTAGTTTTGTAAATGAGGTTACCCAGAAGCCAAAACCTCATTAACTTGGTTGGCAAGGTCAGGGATGGGCACAAAGAAAGAACAGCATCTCACTAGTTAGCAAATGACACGGTTGGACCCAAGCCTTTCACACTCAGAAGTTGAAGTTTCCCTTAAGATACTAATGTGGGAATGAGGTGTTCAATTGTGTTGCTCAAGACATACTTCAATGATCCACGAGTAAACTTTGACAAGAAAAGACTGCATCAGGAATATGGCTAGGCTAATGATTATCTTGATCCCACCTACAAAAAGCTCAAGTGCTGATAAATACGGAACATTCAAATTAATGTAAGTTTGCCATCAGGAGGAATGTGTATACATGGCCTATCTCAATGTGACCTTAGTTTCTGACCAGTGTCATCTTCAGTGTGTTTCAAACGACTTTGTTCAGACAAGACTAATAAGTCACCTCAGATTACAGATCAGAAGCTGACTTACTCTATGCAAATGAACGAGTTTCTGCTTGGCTATAGAGAATTTATTTGTAACTTCGATTAGAGGCTCCACTCTGTGTTTCTTGGTGACTAATGAACCTGGCAGACCAATTTCTGTTCCACTCTAGTTATTGGCTGAAGATCTGTGTGAGCATTCTGGACTATTCCATCTCTCATTAGAAAGAGAAAAAAAGCCTTTAACACCATTCTGAAGTACCTTCCACCTGCCAGGGAGGTCGTGGTGGCTCACAAGACAGACGGAAGGAGGGTATTAAGATGGATTAAGCTAATTAATCTTACTCTGACAATAACCTCAGACAACTTTTCCCCTTGCTCATTTCAGTGCAGAGAAGTGCTGGAAGTCCATTGTTGTTTCCCACATATGGCGTGTCCTTTCTGCTAGGCAGTTGCCATAGATCAGAACAATGTATACGTAGGCCTAATGGCACATGACTCATAGGCATGTAGAATAGCGAACATGTGTGCTGACTTCAGCTGTCCATGGCGTAGTACACTGCCTCCTAAGTACAGCACATGTGAGCATCAGCGCGTGCCTCCACCGGATCAGCCTGCGGAATTATACTGTTATTTAATGCTGTTTTGCATGGGGAGAAGTTAAGTCCACATTTAGGAATATTTACGGCTTGTTTGCAACACTTACATATTTCTATTTTCCTTAGATCATCATTATAGCCTTTCAGTGTTTGCCTGTTTTCTTCATCCATTTAAAAGCAGACCCAGTCCTTAGAAGTTAATGTCTGTAGACACGTGCCTTTTAGCTGTATAGGTGATGTGAAGGGCGAAGTTGTAGACAGGTAACTTATAAACTTTCAACCTCCTCTTACCTCCCAACTGATAATAAATAATGTCTATAAAGAAGTTTGACTTAAAATTTGAGTTTGGGTTCAAGAAACACTGTAACTAAAATCTCTCACAGATACTGACCTACTCCAGACACATCTGTGTTTTCTAGTCTTTCATTTTGACAGTATAAATAGGGCAACTGTAGAAGCTGCGAGTGACCTCCCATCAGGTAAACATCACAGTTGTCACACTAGCCAGCAGTTGGCAATCCCCTGTGCTCTAGAAGCAGTCAGAACTAATGGTCATTTTCTGATGGATGCAGGCAATTGTTGACACAGTGGACAACTTACTGAGACACGAAGCTTTGGAATCCTGGAAACACATGAATTCTTCTGAGCAAGCACACACAGCCACGATGTTACTGGATACACTGGAAGAGGGTGCATTTGTCCTGGCGGACAATCTCTTGGAACCAACCAGGGTTTCCATGCCCACAGAAAATATTGGTGAGTGTATCTGTGGTCACATTTAAATTCGAAGGCAGTTGTTAAAGAGAGGGAAGTTTATATTTTGAATCTATCATCTCCCAGCATTAGACCATTAGAATTCTCTTTCGGTGAGGGTTTTCTTTTTCAAGGAAAAGAAAGTACTGATCATATTTAATAAAATTAATTCTTAAGCTGAAATCTGCCTGTACCTTATAAAAATTGTTTTTATGAGTATGTGTGACTTTTTCTGTAAAAATCATTAAAAGAAAAAATAAGAGCACTTAAATGCTAGACTGTGGGTTGCTTAAGTAATGAAAGTGCTTCGAATGAGAATGCGGCAAATGCTTTTCTATTTTTATAACATTCCTAATGAATTTAAATCACTTTATGTGCTCTTCCAGTCAAATATTTTAGCTCATAAAACTTGAGTGGACAGTTTACATTAAACACAATCTCCTTTAGGTAAATGTGATATTTAATAGCTTGGAATTAGTGGTTCATACCTTCAATATCAGCATTTGGTAGCCTGAGGCAGGAGCATTGCTATGAGTTCAAGGCCACTCTGGGCTATGGAGTTAGAGTGAGACTCACCAAACAGAACAGTTGGGGATAGAGCTCAGTTGTTGAGACGCTCGTCTAGCACACAGGGAGCCCTGGGGTGTAGTCCCTGCCACCATGTAGACCAGGAGTTGTGGTGCATTCTTATCCCCAGGAAGGTGGACCCAGGACATCCAGGTTGAAGGTGAGCCTGGCTTGTGGGAGACTCTCCCTCCCTCTTCCCACTAAAAGATAACAGTCAGTGAAGGACATTATTTTATAGCACAAAATAGCCTTGTTTCTAGGTCGTCAAATGGATTCCAATATTTTGGGGCTGTAAACCAAGAGTTAGAATATTGTCGATGTTGGACAGAAAGCTGTTGTTGACAATATTTTGATAGGAGAGTAAAATTTGATTTGTGAATTTTTCCATCTTAGAATTGACACTTATTTGGTGAGGTTGAATACTTCATCTGAAAAACCTCAGCTGCAGTTTACTATGTACCTTACTGAAACAACAGTTCCCGATTATAAGTAAAGAACAAAGAAAGGAAGCATGCAAAGAACACAGACCTCTCAGTCCTCCACCGGAAGCCGTGCTGACTTCTTTAGAGAACTCCTGAAGTTCTCTGGCTTGGATGCCACATCTTACTGCCAAACCACGACCGTCAATATCATGGTTGCAACTGAGGAAAGAGGAATGATTGACATAAACATTTTAAACTTCAGTTTATTTGATCCATGTAAAATTTCCAAATGCAGTGAAATACAAATAACTTCTTCTGAGGTGCAGAAATTATAAATCACTCGATAACTTCAGGGCAATAAGTGAAGTCAAAAGGTTGCACCCACTATAACCTTAGGTATCTGCTTCTTAAAAAAAATGTATTCACATCGTTTAGTCATAATAAGAAATGAATAAAACCCCATCCCATCATTTTGTAAACCTTCCATTACTCAAGGATAGTTCCTGAGCCAATAGCAATACACACCAAATACACCTCAGCTGTGCCCAGTGGCATCCCCACCTAAACTCAGAAGTAGTGTGACGCCCATCTTCATAGTGAATGCATCCTGGAAAGATTTATGGCATTTTGTAACTTTAATTTGTTTCCCAAATTTTCTAATGTTAATTTTAAAAATACCTATTTTTTCCCTCAACTTCAACTGTGCATGAAAATTTAAAGGGCCATGTTAAATTCTGTGACCTTTTATATCGTGAATACCTGTAGAACATGTTTTTATTTCCCAGATTGTGTTGGAACCTCCTGGCTACACCTTCCTGGGATTACAGACTGCACCACTACCCGCAATTTACATAGGGCTAGGGATGCAAACCCATTTGTTTTTTCCCAGCTTTGTTTTGTCCCAATTCTAGACAAGCTGAAAATTAAATGTCTGGGTGTTACTATTTTCTTAATGTATCTTTCTCTGTTTGGAAGGATTTTTCTTTTATTAAAGTTTTAAGCTTAAAGATGTTACAAATATTCATTTAAGATACAGTATATACATTTTACAGATATTACTAACTTATGCTTGGAATTTATTATGTCTTTATACTTATTACCCCATTATTATCAGCATGGAAGTCACCTTAAACATTTTAAAATATCTTTTTTATTTCTAATTAGTAGTCATATTTTTTTGCTAAAATAAGTACTGTTTTAATCACAAAGAAAGCATGCTGCTTTTCAAAGAACTTGTCTTTAAACACACTATGAAAATAGCCTAAGATTTCCTTATTCTTTAGAGCTCTGATTCAAACTTAAGGGATCGGCTGTATCTTCAGTTACTAAAACAATTTGGTTTCCGTCTTTGCAGTTAGTTTTAACTTCATAGTGTGATTCACTCGTATGATATATGATCCTATAAAAGTAGAGTAATTGTATGGGGGCAGGATCTGCAATAAACTTTGAGGTCTACTTTATATTCAGAGGTGTCTGTTTTGAATGTGAGTCTCATGAATTTTGAACAAATGCTCCCTGTGTGACAATCAGCATAGGCTACATTTTTATCTTCAAAAGGCGGTCTCCTCCCACCTCCAGTCCAGGAAGCCACTGTTTCCTGTCACTGTGGTTAGCTCCTGACTTTGACTTGGATTCTTATTTGATCTTGCTTCTTTTATGTCGAGTTAATTTTGAGATCTCTCTGTCCAGACTGAGTATCTGGAGCTCAGTGGTGTGGCTCAGTGTTGCTCCATTTTACTGGTGTACTCCAATTCTGTGTATCTGTTCACATTTCTGGTTCTCAGAGTTGTCACCACTTAGTGGCTCTTGTTCCCATTTTGTCTCTAACAGCATCGAGTGAGAGTTCACTGTCCATCTTTCGAGTACTTAGCCTCTTTACTTCTTGGCCATCTCAGTAGTTTAGATTAGTATGTTCTGTGGGTTTATGTTGCATTTCTGTGGTTACTAAGTAACGTCTACTTTTTGGATGGAGTATGATGGAGACTTGGTCTCCTTGTATAGCCCATGGGATCTTAAACTCTATCCTTCAGCCTCAAACTCCTGAGTGCTGGGATTAGAGGTGTGTGACACTGGGCCCAGTAAGTAGCATTTAATTGGTGAATTCTTTGCATGTGTTTATGACCCGGTCTCTCATCTTGTTGTAAACTGTTAATTTATTTTCCTCTAGGTCAGTTGCATTTTGATTGATGAGCAATAAGGATTCTTTATGTGTGTTTAGTGTATGTCTTAGGCCAGAAATTTATACATTGAATGTTTTTCTCAGTAAGTGACTTTCCTTCTTTCTCTCTTTCTGTCTCCCTTCCTTCCTTCTTCCTTCCCACTCTACTTTCCTCCCTCTTTCCTTTCCTTCCTTTTTTCTTTTTTTTATATCATGGAAATAGCAGAAATTTCTAATTTTACTTATATTTATGGCAATAACTATTTCATACTGTAAATGCCATTAGATGATTTCCCTCTCAGTTAGGATTTTACCAAGTATATCTACTGAGATGTGCACGTCTAGTTCATTCCTCTGATCTAAGAATATACCACCATTTATCCTGAAAGGCTTTTCAGTGTCTTCCCATTTTTTGGTGAGGAAAGGTAGACCAAAGATTTTGTGGGTTTTCTTATTCACTGTGTTTCTTTGCAGGTATTTTCCAAGAAGTTTTTTAAGGGACATACCATACTAATCCATTTTACCAAATATTTTCCAGATTTTCCTCTGCCGAATTTTTCTAATTTCTGTGCTCATTAATTAATTAGTCTTTAGTTTTAGGGTTGGAGTTTTTGATACCTAAGAAATTTTATTATTGGCTTCCTGCTTAAAACAAAAACAAAAAAAAACAAAAAAAAAAAAAAATCCTTCTCTGCTTTGATTTTTATAAAGGTCCCATGCTGTAAACTTGGTAAACTTATAAATCTTTGTGGTTTTATATTTGACTATAGTCTTTATAAAGTTTACATTTAATTGTGTGTTGTCTTAGAAGCAACTAATCTGGCTTTTTCCATATGAACAAACCAGTTCTTTCTGTATTTCCCTTAGCACATAATGTGCTCTCTTCCCTGTCTCTGTCTCTGTCATCTGTGAAGGTTGTACAAGTGTCAGCATGTTAGTAGGGTCTAGTATTACCTGCCTTTGTTTGGTGCTGCTTTGTTTTCAGTGAAGCTAGTGGCTTTTGAGCCTTTCAGTATTTCTCCTTGAGGGATTTCCTCGGCTGCTTTTGTGTACATCTCATGCATATGAATTTTAAAATCAATTTTTCAAGTCCCAAACACCCATAAAGGTCTTGTTCGAATTTTTATTAGAGTTAAACTTCACTTACAGATTGATATTTTAAGAAGCACTAGACCTCTTCAAATTAACGAGCATTACATAATGGCCTGTTTCTTAATTACGGTTTCTGTGAATAATGAGTTGTTATACCCTCACAGCCTACATTTCCTTTGTTTGTTTGTTTTTGAATTGTTAACATAACATTCTAAGATTGTGATAAATAGAACACACTAGTAAGCGTCCCTTTTCTTTGAAGAGTGTTTTCATTACCCTTTAAGTTTGTGTAGACACAGAGGTTACTTTGACAGGAACACCACTGGCTCGGGGAGTTGTTTTTTCATTCCTACTATTGTAGAGTTTTTGTTTTTTCATTGAACAAGTTGAAATGTACTAATTTTCTGCCAATAATACTTAATTTTTAAAATTTGATCAATTATAATACTTCCCTCCAATATACTAACTAGTTACACTTGTTGATTTTTTTTTTTTTTTAGGGTATTATATTTAAAGTGTGACATAGCATTTTTTCCCCTAACACTTTCATCAGTGAGAAGCTTGTGAAGTAGTTAGCACACATTGATAACCTGTTTTCTGAAAGGAAAAATATAAATTCATTTAAAATTAAGCATATATTAAACTATGCATTGATACATTGAGGACAGAAACTGTTGAGGTTTTGAAAGAAGTTTCTTTCAGTCAGGTTTAATTTTCCCCAAATGTTTCTATTTTCTGTTACAATGTTTACAGGTCGATGCACACATAGTTTTATAAAGTTGATTATCCTATACCCGTTACTTCATTTCTTCTAAAATCAATAGTCATGTGTAGTCACAATCCCATTACTTTAGAAAGTTCATATCAGTTTTCCTTTTCTATGAATGTAACTTTTAAGCTAAAAAGTAAATATAACATAGATGAAATTAGTTCATTCTTACACAGGTGCCTGGGACATTCAAATTTGCATAAAACTCAGATTTGTGTTTGTTTGTTTTATTTGCTTTTCCAGAGAAGTAATTAATAATTTTAATCCCATTCGTTGAGAGCAGGAGATAATTATATGTCAGGGGAGAGGTGTGTTTTGCTTTATTTTGTTTCATTGACAGGGTCTGGTGTAGCCAGGCTGGCTTGGAAGTCTCTGTAGCTGAGGACGACTTTGAACTCATGATTCTTATGTCTGCCACCACTTGCTACTTTGTAGTGTCTCTCTGGGCCTTTCTGCTGGGTGTTGTCTTTGGGAAAACACTTCACTTAGTCCTGTGTCCCCACTGGACCCCTTGCCCCACACACAGAGAATCCGTTATAAGCAGGGAGACCATCTACTTACCAGGGCTTGATGTTTTCCAACATGAGTTAATTACAGCAATAGCCTGTTTCTGCGCTGATAGGAGACCAAAAGTTGCACAGTTGCACAAGTGCCATTGTAACCTCGCAGTGGAGCGGTTTGATCTGGGGCTGAGTTACTTCTAAGATCTCTGAATGTCTGTGTTCTCATATTTACAAGAAAACAAAATTTAAAAATAGTGTGAGTGATGAGTGTGCAGGGAAATAACTCTATTTCTGTATCAAAGGAACGAAACCCCATCCTTCTTTTCACAGTTTCTCATTAATATTTGTTGCTGTCCTCACTGCTTATAGAAAGTAGAAAAAGTATAACGGCAAACTTCACGCACATAATTCTGTGAAAGTCTCTGCTACCTAGGAATTGATGTATCTGCGTGGTAAAGGCACTCAGATTTGTGCTCGCTTTTCACTAAAGGGTGATCACTGAAAATTTACTTAATACAAAAACCCCAAATGAATAAAGTTTGACAAGTAGAAAAAAAAAAAAAAAAAAAAAAAAAAAAAAGAAAGCTATGATTCCTTTGATATTCTCTTTTCTATTCTATTTGTGGTTTAAAGAATTCCCTACCCCAACCCACCCCTCTTTTTTTCCTCTGTTTCATTCAGTTCTGGAAGTTGATGTACTCAGCACCGAAGGGCAGGTCCAAGACTTTAAATTCCCTCTAGGCATCAAGGGGGCCGGCAGCACCATCCAGCTCTCAGCAAACACTGTCAAGCAAAACAGCCGGAATGGTGAGAAGGACAACCCCGCTTTATTTTTCCCTTTTCCTCTCTTCCCTTCCCACCTTACTACACATACACGCACGCACGCCATGCACGCAAGCACGCACGCCATGCACGTACACACATGCACGCACGCACGCCACGCACGCACGCACACCATGCACCTACACACATGCACGCACGCCATGCACGCACACGCACACATTTAAAAAACAAACTATTGAGATGAACCTGTTCTATCTTGAAAATTCACCCTCAATACAACAAAAAAAATGGCTTAGCATTTAAAATAATGACTAACTTCCTCGATAAACTTGATTAAATTTAAAGAGTCCGCCTAATTTTTTTTTTTATTTTATTCTTGCTTTGCCACATGCTTTCTTATCCTACGTGGTTTGTTGTGAGTACTAGACTATTTCTCACTTTCTAGGGTTGGCAAAGCTGGTGTTCATCATTTACCGGAGTCTGGGACAATTCCTGAGTACTGAAAATGCTACCATAAAGCTGGGTGCAGACTTCGTTGGTCGGAACAGCACCATCGCAGTGAACTCTCACGTCATTTCCGTTTCCATCAATAAAGAGTCCAGCCGTGTGTACTTGACAGACCCCGTGCTTTTCACCCTGCCGCACATTGATGTAAGCCAATGCATGCTAATGAAGTCACCGGAGGTTTGAACCCTCGGAGAACAGAAAGCCAGGCTGGCATGCTGAGGAGACAGGAAAGGAGAGTTAGGGTGGGAGGGTGGGGGAGAGAAGACCTCTCCATTTGAATTTTAAATGTTGGACTAGGTCAGGGACACGAGTTTATTTAAGTCTGTGAGCATAAAATTAAATGAGCCTGGTTCAGTGATTATTAGAACTTAAGTGTATTCTTAATGAAAGCTAATTCAGTCATCAACAAGAAAATGTAAATGACTCTCTAATCTGTTTTTGGATGAAAATTAACTCTTACCTTAGCAGTAGGATAGCTGAATATTGACTCTTTAGGCTCTACTTTTTTTAGTATGGCTAATCATTATTTTTTTAATTAGTTCTATTGGCTCATTTACACACATCTGAATACATAGAAAAACTCGGGCATGCACATACACACAAACATGTGCACATGTCCATACAAAAATTAATCATTTGGCTCAACTTTTATCAAACGTTACATTTAAAAAGTCAGAATTGAGGAAGCATGCGTTGCCTGTGGGACCTCTCTGCTCAGACTGGTGTTGAAGTGACGGTTACGTTGGAGGATGGACTGATACAGTAGAGTAAGGGAATGCCTGGTGATAACCAAGTGTCAGGACATACAAGAATAGGTGTGTGATCACAGAGCCTTATCATATTTACTTTATTTGCTTTGCTCATAAGAGCCTTACCATGCCAACTGTGCTTTAAGTGTATCTAATGGGTCACTTACAAGTAACCATAAAAAGGACCCAAAACTGAAAATAGTTTTGTTTTGTTTTTAAAGACACTTGGTCCCTACACGATTTTCTCAGGAAAAAAAAAAAAAAAAAAAAATCACAACCTGAGTCTTATCAGAAAAGGGAGAAAGATTCTAATGTACCCATCAGTATGTAAAATCATAAGATAGAGATTGTAATTGTGTGAAGTGGATCTCTGGTAATTTAGAGTACACGTTAAGAGTGTTTCGGACTATAAAGCCCCCTTTAAGCTAGATGTGTGCCTTGTATAACATAGTCCACAGTTTTGCTGATGAAAAACTTTATAGTCCGAAACATGCAAAGTTTAATCTAAATTACCTTTTACACATATTAAACAATTGCTATTGCCATCTTTGAGTGTAAAATCCTAATTTTATCTTGTCATTTTATTTCCCAGCCTGACAATTATTTCAATGCAAACTGCTCCTTCTGGAACTACTCAGAGAGAACCATGATGGGATATTGGTCTACCCAGGGCTGCAAGCTGGTTGACACTAATAAAACTCGCACAACGTGTGCATGCAGCCACCTAACCAATTTTGCTATTCTCATGGCCCACAGGGAAATTTCAGTAAGTATTTGCACTTCTAATTAGTCGCAGGGAAAGACCTCAGAGATTCAAAACGGCTTGTGTAATAGTCCATCTTTGGATGCTTATCGTAACTAAAAAGCAAACAAAGTAATGCAGGTTTCTAATTGTTTCCACTCTGTCCGTGTATGCTCAGAGTCTTGGCAGTTTTTCACTTTACAAACTTGTGCTAAGTTTCTGCCCACCTTTGTTGTGAGCTGTTTTTCAGAGGCGACCGAGGGTTTTAAAAGTAGAGCATTGGAGGTGAAAGAGCCCAACACAGGTTTCTAGGTACAGGATGCAATTTCTATACTGAATTTTAGAATCTCTTTTCCCAATGTTGCTTTAACAGTTAGCACATTATTTAGAACCGCAGAGTTTGAAAAATCAGAAAAGCTTCTGGAATATGCCTACCTAATTCTTCCCCTTGTTAAAGAGAGTAACAATAGTTAATAAAACATACCCATTATAGCATGGGGCCAGAGATGGCACTCAATTGTTGAGTGTTTGTCTAACCTGAGAAAGACTGGTTTCATCTCTAGACCTGCTCATTCCAAGAAAAGTACACTACAAAAGTCTTGCGTGCATCAGGCTTGTCTGTGTTACTTAGCTCACTATGCAAATATATAGAAATCTGAAGAGCAAAGGAAAGCTTAAAAGCTGGATTATGTATTAGGTGCACAATCATTAAAACGCCAATTATTTTCATCATAATTAGTCTTCATTTCATCTAAATAGTCTGCCTACATTTTGTAAGGTAGTGGTTTCAATAATTATTTTTAAAGATGTGGCCTCTTGCATAATTTTCTATATAAAATCTCCCTCTTAATTAAATAATTTTAAGTAGTGAATCCAGTAAGACAACCTTTACCTCCACGGTCAACATTTTTGTCTATGAGCCCCACTTGAGCACATGAGTATCCTTCCCAGGAGACTTGGGTGTAAGTTGCTTTCCTCTCTGAAAAGCGGAATACTGACCAGCTTCGCACTTTTTGTCTCCCAGTATAAAGATGGAGTTCACGAATTGCTGCTTACGGTCATCACCTGGGTGGGCATCGTCGTCTCACTCGTCTGCCTGGCTATCTGCGTCTTCACCTTCTGTTTCTTCCGAGGTTTACAGAGTGACCGCAATACGATCCACAAGAACCTTTGTATCAACCTTTTCATTGCTGAATTTATTTTTCTAATAGGCATTGATAAGACAAAATATTCGGTAAGCACCTGTTGAGCCGGTGAGTGCATGTGTGATGCTGATGTGATGTTGTTGTTTGGTGGTATTCGTGAAGGATAAATTGTGCTTAATTATAAGAGAGCTCACTCAGTAATGTTATTATGAATGTATTTATTTCATGAATTAAAGTACAATTGCTTTTTTCCCCCCCTGGCTTGTTATACAATAGAAGGCTGCAGGGAACACTGACATTAAAAAGATGGTACTCTCCGAATTCCTACCTTGCTTCTATAGGCATTCTGACCAACAGCCTTTCCTTTACACTTAAAGCAATTCATTCGTCATCCCACAAGGCTTCAGTGGCTGACCCAGGACATAGTTCAGTAATGTATCACCCTGCATTCAACTGGGGTAAATTTAAGAATGCCCCAGAAACAAAAAGGAAATAATCCTACATAATTCAAGTATTTGTCATTAAAGCAATTTTTTTAAATTCCTCTATGGATGATCACATAAGGTATGTCTGCATAAGACTGTTCTGCACACTTGCAAAGCAATCACCCACAAGGGATTATGGGGAGTATTAGAGAACATTGTGGGGCATTTGAGACATGAATTTAGAGATCTGGGTTCACACTTGATAGTTAATTTCACTAAAAAAGTTATGTCTTAGCGAGGAAGTCTCCCACACTTGGTGGTATGTTTTCCAAGTTTTGTGCCCTTGATAGTTTGCAGGCCTTGTGTGTGTGTAAAATATTGATGGTGAGGTATTTAAACAGCACTAGTGAGTCTGCCATTGATTGTTTCATGGTTGAGCAGCACAAACAAGCTCTGTACCCACAGCTATCCTGTATGACTTTCTTCTCTCTTCCTTCACAGATTGCATGCCCCGTGTTTGCTGGCCTTCTGCACTTCTTCTTTCTAGCGGCTTTTTCTTGGATGTGTCTGGAAGGAGTGCAGCTCTACTTAATGTTAGTTGAAGTTTTCGAGAGTGAATATTCAAGGAAGAAATACTATTATGTCGCTGGATACTTGTTCCCTGCCACAGTGGTTGGTGTTTCAGCTGCTATTGACTACAAGAGCTATGGGACACAAAAGGCGTAAGTAATTGCAAGTGACCTGAGTGTTTTTCAAGTGAATAATTTTTAAAGCCTATTAGCTGTCACTGAGGGTCCCTGACAGACTAAAATCGCATCTGAAAGCTTTATTGGGGAGAGATTGGGCATGCCGTGCACAAATTACAATCAAGTCTTGTGTAATTCTCTGGGTTCAGAGGATCGGTTCTCTGGTGAGGCAGATTCTAAATTATGGACTTTCTCTTTTAACACAAAAGACCGGCCTGAAACAAATGGGAAAAGTAAATAACTTTTTGGCTTCAGAAAAATGTTAAGTAAAAGTTCTCCTGGACTTAATGCCTCTGACAGAGCTAGTGCCTCCTCAACTCCCTGTGCAGCTGCTTCTACTTGAGCACGGTTATGGCAGCACGTTCCATCCCGAAAGTTTTACTCTCACAGGGTTTTACCAAGAACTTTGAGGGGATTCAAATAAGTCACTCTCTCTTGTCTTAAAAAATACAGATATTTACAGAAAGAGCCGCACTTCCTTGATGATTTCATTGGCCAAAGGCATAACTTCCAATTGCTTATTTTTCCCTCTGATAAAGTTAGTTAATACAACTTATTTATAGTCAAGAAGCCCATGACTTTATAGCTGATCAAAAAAGAGAAATTCAGTGAGGATTCCGTTTTGTAGGAAATATGAATGTGTCTTAATGAGCATATGTATCATATACATTAATTATGCGGAAGTGGTTTGCATTTCTTTTCCCCTAGTGTTTGTCCATTCCTAATGGAGATATTTATGCTACACTGTGTGGCACTAACACCTTTTGAATGTTTTCTTTAAATTCTGTTAAGCAATTTAATTCTGATCAACAGGAAAGACAAAATTTGAAGAATACATACAGAACTTTAGAATGATAAAGCAATGTGGGGTATTGTTTGGGGTAATTTCTAATGAGGTTGAAGGTCCTAGAGCTTCAGGGCTGGGGTGGGACTTCCAACTCTTCCTATGAAAACTTCTACCCAGTGCTGTGCCTAGAGTGAAACTTGCTGCAGGTTGAAGTAAATGAATTGCTTAACTTTATTGGGTCAAAGCCAACTCAGAATTGTAATAACTCTTCTTGCCTGTGATTAATGAATTTTCAAAGGCACATGGAGGGATGGTTTCTTGGCTGAATTTCTGTGGTTTTGTTTCTCTGCTTAATGTACAGATCCACGAAAGCTACTTAATGCATTTGCTTTCCTTCCCAAACAGTTGCTGGCTTCACGTTGATAACTATTTCATATGGAGTTTCATTGGGCCTGTTACATTCATAATTCTGGTAAGCAGACTTTACGTTCACAGCCTTTCAAGCTGCTATGGTAACAGTGGTACTCAAACAAAGATATGCCCCTTCACCGCTAATTATTCAGGCAGAGATATGTAAACATGTCTATTAGCGGGACAATATCGTGTAGCATATTTAGACGGATATCATTATTGAAAGTTGTACACTGGCTAATTATCTATGCCTGAAAACCACCTCTCCGAAAAGTACCCCATGCTATTTCTGAGTAAGTGTGCTGAAACAGCATAATAATGACAATTAATCAATAAGCTAACAAACAAATAGATAAATAACCCACAGAAAGCCACTCATCTGCCATATTAAGAATTGTTTGACTGGTTTAGAAAGACAAGTGAACATTTCTTTATTTTTCTTTTTAGTCTTAATATTAATTTGGTATTTTAAGTGACTGTCCATACCTTAAATTCTTTTACATCATAAATTTTTATAAAGCTAAAATTAATAAAAAGGATACCAAATCGATTTTAAATTCGCTAGGAATATGGATTCCTTTTGAAGACTTAATATACTTTTTATAAATCAATAAAAATTGTTTTAAAATGAATTTTACATACATCAACGGTAGTAACATTAAAACCATCTTTGAAGCATCTTATTAACTATATTTGTATTGGAAATGTAATATCAGAATTTTCTAATTTAAAACTTTGACCAAGTTACCATATAATGCAGGTAGAACTGAGTGTTAATAGCCTTTAGAAGCTTTGAAAAAATAACATAAACAAGTTTAAATATTACCTATGCAGAGTTAATGTTCTTAAACACATTAGCTGTTGCTATTTTAAATATTTTATTGCTAATTATTTTCTTTTTATATTTTATATTTTAATATTTTTATATTTTCAGGGTGTTTTAATGTTAACTAATATTTCATAAAACTCAGAAAGAAAAGCTCATAGTTCAGTCAGCAAGGCCCTTGCTGTGCAATCATGAAGACTCATAGCCATGGGAGAAGAAACCCCAGTGTGGTCAGGAGACTCTCTAACCCCGGGAATGGCAGGGGGGGGGGCAGTAAGGTCCCTGGTATACCCAGGGAGGCAGACAAATTGCTGTCCTTCAGCTTCACTGCGCAGCCCTTTCTCCAGACACAAGGTAATGACATTGAGAAGAAAACCTAACATTGACCTCAAATAATTTATTAAAGAAATTGTTGCTGAACAAAATTTAAAACACCCAAAAGTAGTGTGTGCATTTTAATTCTTAGGACAGTTATGTCACAGAGCTACTTTAACCAAGCTAAATGAAAACTTGAGATAAATGCCCACTGGAGCAGTCAGTTCCTGACATGTGAGGTGATTTTTCACGAGGCAATGGCCCTGAAAGTATGTGACCACACCCTCAGAGTATTCTAGAATGAAATGACTAATAGCTGCTGTGTAGTTACTGTATCCTTAAATACATGGCTTCTTTCTACCCACCTACAACAAAAACATCTGTACTTTGAAATTAAACACAAAGGTTGCATTAGGGAGGTTTGGGGCATAAAACTATCACATGCTTACTCTTGGTGGCTGAGAACTTTATCTCTGGAGATTAGCACTAATACATTAGAAAAAAATTTTTGTTTGAAAAACAAGTTAATGGTTACTCAGTAAGAAGTGGGTAAAGGATATTTTGGTACATCACCCATCTATAATGAGAGCCCATAATTATCAGTCTCTGTCCATCTTTTATACTCTGCCTTCATTCTGAACTATGGAGAGCTCTAGGTCACAGTGTTCCCAACATAAAAGTGGATTAAAAAAAAAAAAAAAAAAAAAAAAAAAAAAAAACCCAGCAGGTTAACAACTGCATGCGTATCTCCTTGAGATTCTGAGATAGCTTTGCCCTCTAATGATCCCATCCCAGCACAGAAAGAATACAATGCAGTATCTTGAAATACAATATCTAACCTAAATTGAGAAGTAACCTAAATTGTACAGCATACATATGTTAAAAACACATTTACCTAAGTAGATACTGTAGTGATGCAAGACACTTAAAACCTAATTCTGATATGAATCTTAATAATATAAATTATATTACATACTGTCCCTGTAAGGAATATTCATATAACAAAACATTTCTTGCTGTCCCAAGAAAATACATTTTGAATTATGACTGAGTAGAAACCATATTACCTTAATAGTATTAAATAGTTATACCTTTGTAATATTCCACGAAGAAAAGTGAGAGACAGTGGGAGCTAAAACTTCCTACTTAATGCCTTTCTATAGAATGTCTTGCCTACAGGCACTAGAGTTATTATATCTATGAGAAAAGTACCAGTTAGTAATGAGCAGGGGAAACCATTAGTATGCCTGAAATGGTTTAATGAAGGCTTGGATCATGACACGTCAGGAGCTGTTCTTATCATTTGGACAGCTCCATCTGCATCATTAATAATTAATTCAGTTCAGCAAGAGTTCAGCCCACATGCTCACTTAGAAGTCTTCTTCAGAGAACACCTCTCTGGCTGCTCGTCCAGGGAAAATCAGTTTCTGCTTGACTAACGGCAAAGATCTGGAGACACAAGTGCGGTTTTAGACTTGCATTTGCCAGGTAGCAAAAGCTCTAGGGAGGACAAAAAGGGTCGGAACATGTGCAGTTCAGCCAGGTTACTGCAGAGCCCTGTTTCTGTTCCTCTGTCTTATCATATCCATGTCAGCCCTGCAAGCTGTGGAATGAATTTAAAGCTGCTAAGCCCAGACAGATGTGACTCAATGAAGCGAGCTGATGGCCGTACACCAAGCCGTGATGTCTTCCAATCCCTGGGAACTTTTCCTTTTAAAAACTCTTTTGTAAGGTCATGCCTAGCAGCATAGGTGATGCTTAACTCTGTGGTGCCAGTGGATTAGTGAAGGATTATTTAAATAATAATTTATGCAGTTATGATTTGGCCATTTACTTATTTGCTGAGTAGAGTTTTGTTTAGCCCCTTCTAATTCTGCTCCCACTTTTACATGAAGTTCTGTTGAGAAGTAACTAAGTATCTGTATGTTTAGACCTGTATACACCTACCTGAATTTATAAGCCCACAGTACAGAGGTCAAGTAGGAATAATTCCTGAATGAATCCCCCTCCAAGTAAGTCATCACCCTGTTCATTTAGGCTGCTGTGTTGAGACATAACCAACACAGTTTTATTTAATAATCTTCATTTATTGATTTATAAATAATCTAAATTTATTGTTTTATATGAGTAATTAAGGTTCGTCAAAGCTTTATTTGTTGTATAATAAGTAGGCTGAACTTTTTCTTACGTTTTGGTATATAATCTTTTAACATATTCCATTATGTTTAAACTCATTAGTATGTAGTAGTGTTTGTGTGGGGATGAGTGATGCTCTAATCAGACAGGACAGATGAAATCACAGTGGACTGTGGTGGGGGTGTTTACCCCTTTCTGCCTTTCTGTCTTTCTGTCTGCCTTCCACTGAGAAATAGGGGAATATCTCATTGTCCCGATTTCTGTAGTTTCTCAAAGCCTATAGAAGACACTAAAAATAAAATAGGGAAAGTAGAAAGTAAATGAAATCACTTATTTTGTTATTTAAAAACAAAACAGCCTGGCAGTGGTGGCACAGGAATTTAATCCCAGCACTCGGGAAGCAGAGGCTGGAGAATCTCTGTGAGTTCGAGGCCAGCCTGTTCTACAAAGCTATACAGAGAAACCCGGTCTTCAAATGTGCACCCCACTCAAAAAACAAAAACAAAAAACAAACAAACAAACAAAAAAAACCAGCTAAAGCAGAAATATACTAATGTGAACTAGAAAGTCATTTATGTCTTGAGAAAAAATGCATAGAGAGAAACTCAAGTTTTAGTCATTTATTTGAAAGCAGTCTGTTGTCCTTGATATGATTGTTGTGGACCATGGATTTTATTGAAGCTGCTGTGTCTGGATTTGGACTCCATGGCTCCCTTTTAAAAGAAAAGGAAGAAGTAGAAGAGAAAATGGGAGAGGAAGCATAAAAAATTTTGACCCACACGATCATAATTTTTGGTGTAGTGTATTGCCTCCTGAGAAAAAAATCACAGCAACAACATTTATTGTATGAAACTGAACTTTAGCTTTGAAGTATTTATATATTAGATAAGTATGAACTATGAAGTATTCATTGTGCTTTAGTAACATCCAGTTCCGTTCCAGGAGGAAGCTCACTATGTGTGTTGACGGTAGCATATTTAATTGTTCAATATCTATATCACAAAGACTTTTTATGTTTCTCTGGTTCACTGCAAATAATATATATCAGTGAAATTTTAATATTTAATAACCATGGAGAAACTCTTAGATTGACATTCTTTTTGCCATCTAGTGCCTTAAGAGTAGTCCTTTAAGCTTCCTTTTATAATTACTTTGTTTAGGAATGACAGCATTTTGTCCTATTAAATATACCCTTGATCCATTATTTCTACGTTTTTAAGTAAATTTTCTTCAGAGGCTAAAGTCTTGTGTATGAGTTAACTGAAAGTTTTATGACAGTATGTCATTAGCTGTTGTTATCTTTTTGCATTTCTTTAAAATGGAATATTCAGACATTTGAAAAACAGCTTGAATGTAAAAGCCCATTATTATTGTTTCATCATATTTTCCCATCATAATTTTTGCATCATATTTTTCATTCATAATTTCTCATGGAGTGTATTATATATTTATCTATAAGGTGATTATCTTTTGAGTTAAGATAGCTGTGATGCATGTGTCTTTAATCCCAGCACTTGGGAGAAAAAGGCAAGCAGATCTATATAGTCTTAAGTATTAAATTCTAGACCAGCCAAAGTTACATAGTCAGACCTGCACAAACAAACAAACAATAAATAAATAAATAAATAAATGAAACAAATGAACACACAAGCGAATGAATATTCTACATTTGGGGCATTAAAAAATGTAGGGTTGAAAGATGTTACCTACTTCTGTGAAGAAGGCCATCTCTCCAGAAATTTGGAGGCCATTCCTTTGTTTACCTTTATTTTGGATTGCTGTATTTAGTATATTTACATACAGAGTATCTTTCAGTAGCTCCCACAACTAATACAGACACAGAGCCTGGACTTGCTGGAGCGCTCTGCCTCCCAACAAGCCTTTAATGTGACTCGTTAAGACAACCCATGCATAAAACAGAAAACTTATGGCACTGTTGATTTTTGCCTTTCTGAAAAATATTAAAAATACTTTTTACCACAATTCTTTAAAAAGTCATCAGTGTTTATCCCATTACCACAGAGAATTCTAATTTCTCAGAGGCAGAGTCCGTGTCTTAGGTGTTCATAGTGGGATAAACACACTTGTATAGCACAGGCCAGTTAATAAAATATCTGTTGGGTGAAATATGTGATGTGACCCGTGTCTGTGAATGAAAGCATGTCTATAAACCAGCTGGGATAATCCTGTAAAACTAAAGCAAGAAATGTTCCTATGGGTCTATCTTCTATCTGATAACTCTTCAAAGGAGTGAAATAAAGCAGATACCTAGTTTGCCCTTAATTAACTAGCATGGGAAGGTAGACCATCTGCCAACATGTGTAGGTTATACCCATTAACCTTATTTTATCTCTTAAAGGAGGAAATTCTACATCTAAGAGAAATAATAAAGTGCATCAGACAGAAAAGTAATACATAGTTTACAGTATTTGCCTTCTTCCCAAAATCATTCATAGGGATGGCTGGAAATTTTTAATGTATTGATCTGTAACATGCTTCATGGCTATAAAATCAGAATAATAATGAACTAGTGTGGGGTCGTTTGGTTGTGTGTCATTGGGGCAGAGCACACTCCCTGAGTCTTCCATGAGGGCCAGAAGACCCCAGATTATGCTGATTTCTCTAAGAACCATGAACAGATGGGCTTATGGATGAAGGAATGAAATGTCACAAGAAGGGTACAGGGGAAGTCTCGCTTAGCTCTAGTTTTAGGGCGTAAACAGGGGAGTGCTCTCCTCCATCAGCCTGGGGCTGGACACTGCTGAATTTACCAGCCTTTGCCTCTCCTCAGTCAATATGCCCCACTTTCTTCTTCATCCACCCATGTGACCTCTAGGGAATCCAGCACTTCCACATCAAATTCCAGCCCTGCTGGTTTGCATTGGTTTGTCCCTAAAGTCCTCACAGCTGAACACTTAGGAGGACTCACTCTGTTGGAATTGACCAAGTCCCGTGCAGTATAAACAAGGGAAGAAAGGACGAATGGCTTTTTACATTAGATAGTAAGTGTGCAGACAGTAATTAATTTGAACTGTTTCATGTATTTTATTTAATTGGATCCTCTTGGTTACCTTAGATGTAAATCATGGCTCTGGTTTAGTTGCTAACCGTCCAGAGGTAGGCTCTCAGCCAGGTCTCCTAAAACTCAACAATTCTTCCCCTGCAGGTTCTTGATGCAAATGTGCTTCTCAGAATTCTTTTCAGGGTCTCTATTAGGTGGCTTTTAGGCCTTGGACTACATTTAGCGAAAGAAACTAATTTAGGTATTTTAATTAATTTAATCATTACCACATGATACTGGCTTAATGAGCTTGCAATTCCATGTCAAATGATCTGTTAGATCGATCATAATAGCCAGGGTGTTTTCCACACAGACTGAACCCATCACTGTATACATAAATGAAAATTGACTCTCTGTATACAGTGTCCATAAGCTGTGGGTACTGAACTGGGTGAACTCATTAACAAAATTTGCAAAATGTGTTTTCTTCCTTGTTCATAGTGATCTGATTCTTTCTTTATTCATTAAAACAGATAAATATTATTTTCCTGGTGATCACACTGTGCAAAATGGTGAAACATTCAAACACTTTGAAACCAGATTCTAGCAGGTTGGAAAACATTAAGTAAGTATTTTGTATTTGAACTGTTATACTTGACCAGTTCAGTAAAAGATGTTCTCCACAGGGAACAGAGGCATCTTTGCTTTCTGGCAGCTATAGAGTGAAATTTTACTGATACAGGTTGAATTTCCATTAACATGTTGTGGGCATTGGTCAAGAAGTAGATAATTTCTGACCTGATACAGAGTGGAGAAATTGTTTCTGTGGCCTCACGGAAATTTCCTAACACTGTAGTGATTTCATTTGAATTTTAAATGCAGTTCCAAATGATGGTCCTGTTTGCATGGCTGATATGATTATATTAAGTTTGTTTTGTTAAATGACTTTCTGATTTAAGGATTCTGAGCAGTTTCTCCTCCTAATCCTGTTTTCCTAAGAGAATTTTCTCTATTACTATTGTTATCTTGAAGATTATCTGTTGTTTTCATGCTAATTAAACAAGTGTTTACTTTATCTTAATGTTGAATAAAATCTGCAATATTCTATTAGTGAAAATGCTATCTAATTAACCCAAAAACTGATAGCTGTTGATTCATTAAATCAGCTATGGAAGCATTTTCAGACGTATTTTTAAAATGTGAGTTTTAATGTAGAATTTAAGGAGGTATTAAAGTTGGATATGCCAGGATTGTGAAATACTATTTTTAATGTTAAAATGGCAGATTCTTGTAAGGGTGTTATTGTTTTTGATTAGATGTTTTAAATAGGTTAGTGCCAACTTCATTGCATGTTGCATGGTAAGAGAGAGAGCTAATCGTTAGCGTCTCTCTCTTTTCTTCCCTTTCCTCTTTCTGTCTTCTCACCCACACCAGTAATTACCGTGTTTGTGATGGCTACTATAATACGGACTTACCTGGGTAAGGTAGAACCCTACATTAACAAACTTATAGCATGATTTATATTTTTTTTTTGCAAATCCTTCAGTATCATGAATTGCTCTTAATTTTTGTAGTTATTTTGGAGTATCTAATTTGCTGTTGTACCCTTAAACTATAATATGCCTTTATTTTTTTAATTGCTTGCCTCTGCATTTTTGACTTTCTTAATTTTGACTAATTTATAAAATATATAAATGATTTCTTATTACTTTCTATTTTAATTCTGCCTAATAATTTTGTTTCTCTTTTCTGCTTATAATGCTTTCTAGCTATGAAGATAATAAGCCATTTATCAAGTAAGATCATTAGTTAGACATGGAATGCAATGACTCCAAACCCTTCTCATGCTGCCCTGTTTTCTGCGGTTCTTTTCTCCTTAAGCGTTTCATGATGAAATCTCTGCCAGAATATTTCATTTTGAAGTTGTTCTCGTGTTTTGTTTTTTATTTTGTTTCCTTAACTCATTTCAGCTAGGCTTCTTCATACTTTCATTGTAATTCCGTAGGCTCGCCTCAGCCTAGTTTATTAGAATCTCAAGTTTAGGTTCTCTGTGATTATCTGCCATTTAGCCTTTCTGTGTGTGTCATATTACCTAATGCCGTGAGTACACCACAGGAATAAAAATACAGGAGTAAACTAATTAAGGACTCCTTAATTCCTTTTACTAAAGTTCACACGAAAGACAAAGCCACAGGGGATATTTTTTACACCTTGCATTTTACCATAGTTTTGATGCCTGTTCATTCTGGAGCAAGAAAAAGCCATACCCGCTGTTGCTGTACCCACTGGAGGCTGCAGTACTAAATGTTGTTCTTTCTTAATCGATGGAAGGTTAAAGCCAAAATGCTGTTGAATTTGAGTGAACATAGAGCAAGTCAACCTCTACTACTACTGAGTCGTTACTAAATGAGATAAATGTTGCTCCCCTCATTGAACCTGTTAAAAAAAAAATCCACTTTATTTTTTCAGGTCTTGGGTGCTTGGCGCATTTGCCCTTCTGTGTCTCCTGGGCCTAACCTGGTCCTTTGGGTTGCTTTTTGTTAATGAGGAGACTGTTGTGATGGCATATCTCTTCACCACCTTTAATACTTTCCAGGGAGTGTTCATTTTCATCTTCCACTGTGCTCTGCAAAAGAAAGTAAGTGAAGGGACACCTGGGGAGAGCCTTCACTCACTTGGTGTTTGGCTTGACAATTAAAAAAAAAAAAATACAAGGTTGAATTCAGTCTTAGCTTATTGATAGGAACACACTGGTACAAAATGAAAACGAATCCAAGGACAAATAACATTAATTTTTAAAGCTCCAGACACACAAAAGTTTAATATTAATGTTGCCTTGTGAGCTATTTTGAAAGACCAACTATCATTTAGTGTTTCACCTCTGATTATTTTGTCCTCATTTCATGTATGTGGGGTGGAGTCAGCAAAAATATTTTTGAAAATGAGAGTTAAGGGTGAAAAACCTCGAATCTTTCTGTGGCCAAAACCAGGAAAACCACTTAGCTACCATTTAAGTTTAGAATTTATGTGTCGTTCACAAGGAATCGCCATTCCCTGCCTGCATGTCTAATGTAGTCTTTGATTCTGTCATTACTAGTTGGTCACTAAATTGAACGGAGAAAGAGAATTGTGAAAGTGAAAACTATTAAGTTTTCAGCCCTGACAAGATGATAGTGTTGTTACTTCCATCAGTTTTGAATAAGCTGTAATTTTGAGATAATGACTGTAGAACATGAAATGCTGACAGATAATGTACAGTCACAGCAATATAGGCATTAGGCAAAACCAACACCAGAGGGTGTTATTTGGATAAAATACCACTTTGATTGCCATTGTCTTGGTTATACAGCTTTTCAGAGCTTCTAGTAACTGCTACTTGTGTAGTATTTTTCCTGAGGTATCTTGTGTTTTAGTAAAAGTGCACTGTGGCATTTTAAATGTTTGTACAAGGGTATCCTGAGTAACCACTGCCATTTCTATGTGTGTCCTGTGTAAGTCAGCATCCTGCATAAAGCATATGGTCACATATTGATCATTCCTCAGAGGTCATGTCCCCCAGTCCCCCAGTGTTGATATTACACTTAGCCTTAGCAGCAGAAGTCTTAAGAGACAGCCTCCTCTGCAGCTTTGTGTATTCCTTGACCATGGAGTTTCATTGCATTCTTACATTAACAACTACATTTTAAAAGAATCACCCATCCTACCCTTCTGAATATGTTCTACTCAGACTTCCATGCCTCTTAGTGGGAGTAACCATGATAGATTGTTAAGAATTTAAACATAATATGATTAAGTTGAAAAATACAATATAATCTTCATTTATAATGCTTGAATGAGTGCAGTTTGGCCCAGGAAATGCTTTGAAAGCTCAGTTCTGGTCTTGTGTCTTCTAATATGTGTCACTAAATAAAACACAGAAGATAACAATGCAAATATGCTGAGGCTTAGAAGTTTTCTTGTGACATTAATTATCCACTTTTGGAAGGAGTGTCAGTCAGGCCTTTGCAGGCAGGTAATAGAAATATATGATGGGAATGGATTCAAGTATTGCATAATCTACTGGAAAAGATTTTTTTTTTTTTTTTTTTGGTCTATAGTTTTTTTCTTGTCTTTTAAAATTTTGAAGTCTTAGCTTTAATCTACTAAACCCATGTTTATATACCAATGTAGCTCTGCACTACCCTTCAGTCCCTTCCCATATTGCCTCCTCTCCTGCTTCTGTGACACTCACTGTTCATGAGGAGTGAACTGAAATAGTTCAGTTGCCTGGATTTCACATTTTAAAGGTTAAAATAAACTTTCTTTTAGGCTAGTATTGTTGTGTCTACTCCTGTACCTCAGCTTCAGGTAACAAAGAGAATTACACAGGCAACTCATTAATGTGAACAGAAACTGCACAGATGATGCCACTTTGTGCTAAGGGAGTGAACCAGCACCTCAGACTCCAAAGATGCCCAAGTTAGACTTAGCAGCAAACCGGGAAAACATTCCCTCATAAGTATTGGTGAATGTATGAAAGTACTTCTTAGAGGGTTTGTTCTCAATGCCAAACGTGCCTTTTATGTCCAATCCAGAGGGTCACATATTGACTACTACCTCAGGAAGGCTAAGGTTATAAAACATCAGTGATGGACTTTCAAATTGGCTGTGCTCAGCCAAGCAACAGATGCTAATTATTTTGTGTGATAATTTTGCCCAGACATAGCTACTGAGTGCTTAGATAGAAGAAGCATTTACTATATCACTTTGTCTTAATGACTAGGATTTGCATGATAGCAGTTGACTCTAAAGCATCTCCGGATGAAATTGTAAAGCTAGTCTGTGGACAGACAGAGGTTACACTGGCGATTTGCATTGAACTTGAGTCAAGTTCAACCTGTTTTCTCTACAGAACCTTAACTTTTCTCACTTGTCTTCACTGTTTGTTTAACTAGAGAGAACAGGAGAAACCACTGTGCACACACTAATCCTCTGGTCTTGGATTTATTCAATCCAGGTACGAAAAGAATATGGGAAGTGCTTCAGACACTGGTACTGCTGTGGTGGCCTCCCGACCGAGAGCCCCCACAGCTCTGTGAAGGCATCAACCACCCGCACCAGTGCTCGATACTCCTCTGGCACACAGGTAACAAAAGGCTTGACAGCATCTTTAATTAACCTTATTTATAGAAAGCCTGCAGAGACAGGCCCTGTTTAGATGCATTAATTGTTTCCTCATTGTCGTAATCAGGAACTAAATACTTTTTACTTTAGATTTTGATTTCTGTTTCTTCTTGAGTATGAACTCAACATATTGTGTAGATGCCAACATCCTCTTTGAGGAATGTGCTTTAAAGTTTATCATAAGTCATATATTCTCAGGTCATCTAGAATAGTGGTTTTCATAGTCACTCAACACATTTTTTAAATAATTCTTTGTCTCCACTTTAAACAAGGCAATAAAATACCATGTAAGAGGGGAAGATTAAAAAGTCAGGTGTGGTGATCTGTGCCTGTAACCCAGACCCCAGGGAGATGGAGGCAGAAGGTTCATGACCATCCCTGGCTACAGAGTGAGTTGAGGCCAGACTGGGCTACATGAAACTTGCCTCAAGCAATAAATCAAACAGACAAACAAACAAACAAACCCTCACCAAGTGTGTAAGACTAAAGATTAAATAGCAAGGCAGTATTGGTGTGCTCATCTTTGGGCCAACTACAGAACACATTCTTAAAAATCCCAAACAGCAGTCCCATTCTAATGATTTACGATAGATCAATGTGTTGATGAGGTAAGCGTGGGGAAGTGAACATAATGTGCTTTTCTTGCTGTTTCATGTCAATAGAGTCGTATAAGAAGGATGTGGAATGACACCGTGAGGAAACAGTCTGAATCTTCTTTTATCTCAGGTGACATCAATAGCACTTCTACCCTTAACCAAGGTCAGTTATTAGGGGAATTGAGTGTACAGCGTACAGTTTGTACTTTGTGTGAGCCTAGACTAACTGTAGAGAAGACGCTGGACTTACCTTACGTGGGTTTAAATCACCAGTTATTAAACTTTGGGGGTCAACTTTTAACACCATTCATCAAAGTATGTATAGATTTATATTATTTCCTTAGTGTAATGCAAGAAAATACAGTTTACGCTCCACAATAATAGGACATGTTTGGAAAAATTAATTGTTGAAGACATACCTTGTTACAGATGAAAAGGTTTCTCTTGCTAGAGTATACCTGTCCTTCATAAGACATCTATGAAAGTTAAATTCCCAAGACTTGGCTAAGATTAGAGTAACTATGGTTTGGGTAAAATGGTGCCAATTTCACATTGAAATTTACCTAATCGCCATAAAATTCCCTTATTTTATATTTTAAGGTAAATATTAGGTAGTAAACCATTTGTAGTAAATTAAAATGCACGGAAGCATATAAACCAATTCCCCCCCCCCATATAGTTCCTTGTGTTGAGTAGAGCCAACTTAAATTTGTTATATAAATCATATTAGTTCCTAAACGATAATGGACAGAGATGAAGGAGTTTAGCAAGATCAAGGCATAAACACAAAACCACAGGACCTTCCAAATAAAAGCTTAGTATATTCCAGTTAAGAATGAAAAATTTGTGTTGTTGTACCTGTCCATGGAAAGAGACACTTACAGTTCCAATTTAGTGATTTATGATACATACAACTGTTATGACACAGTTCAGCTGTGAAATGAAAAGGGTGTCTCTGTGACATCCATACAAGCCTGAATCTTAACCTCACTTTAGTCCCATTGCATTAATGGTGTGAAACCTGACTGCTAAGTGAAGGTGTGTGACTTAGCAGCTCTAGCAAGTGAAGTCCCTGTTTCACCATCGCTCCATTGTTACCCTAATTCTATTGACACGGTTGTCTCATAGTTACTCCAAGACTCACTTCTGAAACCTGGTGAATGAGATTACAGAGCCAGCATTTCTGTCCTGGTCTAATAATTCATTGACGCCCTCTCCCCTGGCATGTATGCTTTTCCCTTTAATAAGTGCAGCTTTTTTACAGTCTGCGATCTTTCTTACATGCCTGTGGAAACTGCTTTCCCCCCTGCTTGTGTGGAAGTCAGTATTAACACAGATGTTTTCATGAGGGACGGTCCCACACCTGTATGTCTGCAAGGTTGAGAGTCCCTCTGCTGGGCCTTGGTGATTAGGGCTTTAATATTAGGCAGTAGCATCCAGAAGCATAATGTTGATCTCCATGCATTTAATTGCCATTTTTGTTTAACAGTGATCTTGTATAAATTAGTAAATGTCATTCTCAGCAGGTGTTTACTTGGGGGACTTAGGAAGCACCTGTGAATTACCAGAGTTGAACTTCCCTATCCCCTTTCTCCTTCAAATCAGTAGTTCAAGTAGAGTCAGGAAAATTCCAGCAGACTTTTCATTGCCAGCCTGCCCACTGCCCTGATGAGTTAACTAAAACTACTGCAACTGTAACCCTGAAACAAGCGCACTGATGGACTCTTTTCTGTTTCTTTACTTTAGGAATGACTGGCAATTACCTACTAACAAACCCTCTTCTTCGACCCCACGGCACTAACAACCCCTATAACACATTGCTCGCTGAAACAGTTGTATGTAATGCCCCTTCAGCTCCTGTGTTTAACTCACCAGGTGTGCTTATACTTACAAATAAAACTATCTTTCTTTGCTGCTAAACAGAGCTCTGATCCTATTTCTAAAATAACTCATTGCTATATATTTATTATTCTTATATTTTTAGTTTCTCAGATTGAAGAGTAAGGTATTGCCAGTGCCAGGCTTCTAAAACTGCACTATATTATAGTATTATAGTTAGTCATGCTAGGTTTGCAGTAATTATCCATGTTTTTGACACAGGTGGCATAAATCTTAATATATTATTACAGGACTGACATCACATGGTCCGAGAGCCCATCTTCAAGATTTATATCATTTAGAGGTATCCTATCTATATAATATATTGTTCAGTTGATTCTAAACCTTGGTGACAAATTTTGCTTCTGGAATGAACTAGTTAAAGATAATTTGGATGTCCAGGTGTAGAGAAGTACATCCAGCATTCTCAATAGAATCAAACTATAGTATAGTGCAGCTTTATATAGTTTTCCTTCTTGTAAGGAACTTTGGGGACGAAGGGGCTACTAAGTCAGTCTGTGCCCATTGCTTTTTAATTGAGGGGAGGGGGGAGGATTTCACTCACCTGTTCTGTTTACTATATTTACTAGCTTATTTAAAAAAAAATTCAGTAGTATTTCTTAAGCTTTTGGTAAATTTTAACTTATGGTTATAGCTAGCATTTACTACCTGTGAATAACGATTACAATTAAACACAGAACTTTGTTCCAGTTTGTCTGTTGTTTTTTTTTTTTCTTTTGTTCTTCTTGCGATTCCTTTTTAACGTAACTGCAGCTTCTCTTTTCATTCTCTTGTTCTTACTTTCCTTACGCTCTCCTCTAGCAACCTACAGAGAGACAAGTATGGGAGTCAAACTTAACTTTGCCTATCAAATGTAAATTTTTTCAGCATGATTTTTAACGGGCACAATTAAAACATACCTAGCAGTCATGAAGTAGACTCAGCGGGCAAGTGGTTCACAATTTGCAAATAAAATGTTACCAAATTCCAACAGTGCATCTCGGTATACTGGCTTTCATTATGCTAGAGGTCTGTAGCAAATGCCGTCTACACTGAAGTCTGTGCAATGCTGAAATAATTTTCTCTCGAAAGCCTGAAGTACTGTCAGCCAAAATGCTTAACAATTGACTTATCATTTCTGCATTCCCACAGTAATCTTGCTACAGGCTATACAAAAAGTCTTCAAGTGAATTACCTGAACATGGGCAGAAAAAAGATGCCTCTTCAAAACCAGAGAGGTCTTAAATCTGCAGTATATCATAGAAAACAGCTTTTGAATTATACCCAGCATATATTATTTTATACTTAGGAAGCAATGATAAAAAAAGGGGAGGGGGAAAGAAAGTGAAAAGACTTAATCTCATTTCAGAGGAAACAAATGCTAGTGTCTTCGCCTGTGACAGCCTAAAAGGGCCCAAGTGTTTCCTAATGATATTCTTAAGCAGGAATGTGGCTTATGCACATATGCACTTATTTGAGGGACCCTAATCAAGTAAACAACAAAATTAAAGATAACAAGCACAACTTCATTTTCTCAGCACATGCAGGGTGATACAAACGGAGTTGACAGTTTTGTAATGCAGAAATTATTTCAGTCTTTATAAAAGGATGAATAGCAGACGTAAGCCCTCCTCAGTATTCTCACATGGGCTGATGCTGACTTCTCCACCAGCTGTCAATTGCTGGCCGTGATATTTGGACGGTGCAGAGACATTTTGGCTTTTTGAAGAACAATGGGTTTTCTACGATATCTGCAGGTTTAAGAGTGGAGTGAGCAATAAAAAGAGAGTGTTCCTCCTCCTTTTTTCAAGAGTGAAAATTTTCCCTGAACTTCTCCAAGCCTTGCATACAATGCAGCAGCCTCACAGTGGCCAGTTTCATTTCAGTATCATGCCATTCTTTTGTTGATTTTTTTTTTTTTTATTTTCTTCTCAGACCTCTCTGTAGACTGGTGATTTTTTTTTTTTTTTTCCCATTTTAGGATTTTGAGGTTGAAGAACCTAATTTCCCATCGTGTAGACCATTTAATTTGCTCTGACGTTTCTCCATTTGCTTAACAATCACTGTGACGTCCTAGTTTACATGTCTACGTGTCTGTTGGAAATACAATTCTGATTCAAATACAGCATGTTCCCATTGTTGTCTTTCCTCCTGAATCTCTCTTCATATCACAAGCAGATTTATCCAATCTCTCATTCTTTTAGAAATTTTAAAAAAATGCATTAGCTAAGATTGACATCTCCCATTCCATAGTTAATACCTATCCTTGATTTAATTTCTGTGACCCATACTTAGGAAACCTCTGACATTTCTGCATTTGACCTCCATATGCATGGTGTCTCTGGGCCAGTCTTGTACAGTAGTCTCTGCTGGTTCATTTGGTACTGTCACTGTGACTGATGCAGTGTGCAGGGCTGCAGGCCAACTTTGACCTTCAGAAGCCTAAGGCCATTGCTGATAGATATATTAAGTAGCAAACACAACTCAAAATAACAAGAAGTACTCAATGAAAAGTCGAGGCTGCTTTGCTGGGAATCTAATTTGTTGAACCCTTGCTCTGACTAAGTTACTGAGAAGCTTAGAAATTCTTCATCATGTTACAATAAATCATTTTACTTTCTTTTATATATCAGCTACTCTTAGGCCAGATAGCCTGAGCAGACAGACATAATGTGAGTTGTCCAAAGTGAGTCATTCCACCTGCTGTCTGTCGTGTTGTTGGATGGTGCTTGTGGACCCTGGTCCTGTCAGTATGAAAGATGCCTGACTCTGTTCAACATGAGATCTTTGTATCTGTCCATTTTTTTCATTCCTTTTTGTTGTTGTTGTTTTGTTTTGTTTAATCTCATCTCCAGAAAAAGGAAATGTTAGAACGTTGTTTAAAAGTTGCTTGCCAGTTATGTGGGCTTTTGTTGTACATTGCCTTTTTGGTTTCTGTATGTGACTTATTCCTTTTTTAATTTAGTGTTGTTTAGGACAAATTCTGTTGATTTTATTTTATGAACCATGGTCTTGTACTTTAAAATGTAAACGTCACTAATGAATTGCTTTGCATTAACTATGCAAGGGCATGGAGTGAAGTCTTGTTCGTAAACCTGTCGAAATTGGACCAAAACCTGATTGATGAAGTACTGTGTCCCCCAAATTGATAAAGTAACATTCAGTATGCCATTTTTCCATCCCTGGAAAACAGTATTTATTTTTTTGACACTTCTTCCTGTTATCTAAGGGTTGCAACTGTTTACCGTTGGGAATGCCGGAAAGCCTGGCACTTTCAAGTGTTAGGTTTCAAATTCAACTTTGTCCTGAACGACATTAAAGCATTTTGTATATGAGAAGTGCAGTTTCTCCAGGAAGGCACAGAGGCAATGATAGTAATGCCACACTTTTCTGTTGCAGGACATTCACTGAACAATGCCAGGGACACAAGCGCCATGGATACTCTACCGCTAAATGGTAACTTCAACAACAGCTACTCACTGCGCAAAGGGGACTACCACGACGGGGTGCAGGTCGTGGACTGTGGACTAAGTCTGAATGACACAGCGTTTGAGAAAATGATCATTTCAGAGTTAGTGCATAACAACCTCCGGGGTGGCAACAAAGCCCACAACCTGGAGCTCAAGCTCCCGGTTAAACCTGTGATCGGTGGTAGCAGCAGTGAAGATGATGCGATTGTGGCTGACGCCTCATCTTTGATGCATGGTGACAACCCAGCGCTGGAGTTCCGCCACAAAGAACTGGAGGCACCGCTCATCCCTCAGCGGACTCACTCGCTTCTGTACCAGCCCCAGAAGAAAGTGAAGCCCGAGGCGACCGACAGCTACGTCTCCCAGCTGACGGCCGAGGCCGACGACCACCTCCAGTCCCCCAACAGGGACTCTCTGTACACGAGCATGCCCAACCTAAGAGACTCTCCCTACCCGGAGAGCAGCCCCGACATGGCAGAGGACCTGTCTCCCTCCAGGAGGAGTGAGAACGAGGACATTTACTATAAAAGCATGCCCAACCTTGGAGCTGGCCGCCAGCTTCAGATGTGCTACCAGATCAGCAGAGGCAATAGTGATGGTTACATCATCCCCATAAACAAAGAGGGGTGCATCCCAGAGGGGGACGTCAGGGAAGGACAGATGCAGCTGGTAACGAGTCTTTAATAGTACAGCTATTCCTAGGGCCACACGCAAGTATTAATTGATAAAGGACGCCGCCAGCGGCCCCTGCAGCTCCCCCTAACTCTGCCTGAAGAGTGGGTTCTGATGACCCGTGGTTCTCCACTGTAGGAAAACAAAACAGACTGAACCTCGTAGTTCCGTGAATTTTTATAAAGCATACGAAAACTTTGTATATACACAGAGTATACTAAATTGAATTATTTGTTACAAAGAAAAAGAGATGCCAACCAGGTATTTTAAGTTTCTGCTGCTGTGTAGAGAGATTGTGAAACAAATGAGACCCTTCCGGCCATGTCACCTGCGGCAGTTGGTGAACTAAGTCTGTAAATAAGGCCGCACCGGTATTTTTGTTTTGTTTTGTTTTTGTTGTTGTTTTGGTTTTTTGGTTTTTTTTTTTTTTTTTTTTTTTTTTTTTTTTTTTTTTTTTTTGGTGGCCTGCATTGTATTATATACAAGACGTAGGCTTTTAGATCCTGTGGGACAAATTGACTGTAATTTACTTCTCCTGACAAGACTTGGAAAAGCAGGAGAAGATTCTGCACCCGTTTGCACTTCCCTGCAAACCTTTTACATTAAGGCAACAATTGAAAACATGTTTAACCAGTAGCAATCAAGCCACAGGCCTTATTTCATGTTTCCTCAACTGTACAATGAACTATTCTCATGAAAAAAAAATGGCTAAAGAAATTATATTTTGTTCTATTGCTAGGGTACAATAAATACATTTGTGTCCAACTAAGATATAATTGTCATTAAAATAATTTTAAAAAGAGTTTGGAGAAAATAGTGACGAGCTCTTGGTTGCACACGATAGGAAGTGTGTTTTCTTATTCCCATCATGGTAAGTTATGCCCAGTTTTGCTTCTTTTCCACCGTAGACAGTGTTCCGCTTTGACCAGTTAGTCCTTTTCTTACATTTGAATTTCTTATTGCCAAAAGAGTGTGTGTTATGGGGAGAAAACTCTTTCAAGTCAGCCCTGCCATGCCTTGCACAACTGTGGGGAAATCTGGAGGGGTTGGGTCATCCCTCTGCATTCTGGAACAGAGGGCAAAGGGGGCACTGGGCACTTCTCACAACGTTTCCAGTGAACAAAAGGTGCCTATTCTTTTTTAAAAAAATAAAATAAAAAATAAAATAAAACAGAAATATTACTCTTCCATATTCCTTCTGCCTATATTTAGTAATTAATTTATTTTATGGTAAAGTTCTAATGACATGTACATTGTTTCAGCTGAGCTCTGCTCTCCTCCCCAGCCCTTTGTGTAAACCTGTTAATAATGAGCCCATCACGAATATCCAGTGTAAAATTTAACACGGTTTGACAGTAAATAAATGTGAATTTTTTTCAAGTAGTAACGTGCACTTTTATGTATGTTAAGCAGTACACCTGACCATTGTGGTCCTTTCCAATCCCATCTCACCTTCCACTTAGAAGAAATCTCAGACTAACCCATATTTATGTGAAAAAAATGCAAGAAAGTTTCCCTGCTCATCTTTTGCAATGCAAACAGCAGATTCATATTATAATCTTCTCATACAGACACAAAATCTGCCAAATGACATGCAGTGGAAACTAAAGTTGTATAAAATAAATGAAGAATTATAATTTCTACCATTAAATTTGGATAGAAAAATACACTTGATGTGAAGTTCTCAGTGGTATGTAAAGGAGAGGGTCTAAAGCATGCATACCCATTTGCAGATGGAAAGACCAGGCTGCTCTGAGTGGCAGGTCTTTTAGGAAGGAAAGTTCTTACTCCAAGTGCAAAATTCTTACAGTTGGCACTCCACAGATCTTTCTGGTTTGTGCCATGTCATCTACCAAGCTCTGCTCAAACTTAGAGGTCCCTCAGATGGCACTCAATCAGACATCACTTTCTCTGGACACCACTGGATGTGACTACGGAATTTAAACTGTGTAATAACTTTTTACCTTAAAACGTTCATTAGAATTTTCTTTATCTTATTGTGTGAGCATTTTGTCTGCATGTGTGTTTGTGTACCACATGTATGCCCACTGCCTTTCCTCAGAGGCCGTGAAGGTCCTCTGGAGCTATAGTTAACAGACAGATGTAGATGGTGGGAACTGGACCTTAGTCCTCTGTAGGAACATCTTAACTTCTGAGCCTCTCCAGCCTCAAGAGAAAGAATTTGTGTTTTTATACCTCCTGGAAGGCATAGTAAATCCTAACTAATGTTTGAAGAAGAGCCTCATAGTTGGTTACCATCAGTATCCAGGTGGAAATTGATTCCCTTAAAAGCTCAGCGTCCAGGTTTCACAGTCTTCTGAGAAAGTGCAGATATGATTGACAGGCTCAATGCCCAGAGTGTATCAAACTGTTCTGGAAGAGGATGTCATATAAGCAGAAGTTTGCATTTCAACCCTGTTGCATTATTAGAGTCCTAAACTCTGAGGTCATGTAAAGTACTCACGTCTTTGCATATCAACCCACCTCAGTCATGAAGTTTTAAAAACTGTGAAAAAGGAAAGGCTGTGCTGACTATTCAGTTAGTGTCATTTGTTTCTCTCCCATCAGTTCTCAGAAGACATTTTTTCACTAACCTCTACCACAAGCAATGCAATTTGAAAATTCATTCATCTTCGCTGGAAAATAACAGTTGCCTTTAAAATAAACTAAAAGTAGTATGTATATGGTGCCTTTAATCCCATGTGGGATTCTTCCAAGCACAAAGTAATTTTTAAGGTTAAAATGATCAGTCCTCTGGCAGTCTTTGAGTGGGTGTGGTTGTGTGTTATGGGATATGGGTGAACTTGTCTATATGGCTACAGGTGTCTGCCTGTTAACTTCAAGGTGTCTTCCTCAGTTACTTCCCTGTTTTGAGAGTCTGCCCCTGAACCTGGAGCTCAACACTTTGGAGAGACAGGCTAGCAAGAGAGTTCTTAGCTCTTCCTGTGTCTGTCTCCATCACCATGGCTACAAGCACATGCCACTATGTGGTGGGATCCAAAGCTGGGTTCCTCACACTTTGTTATTTGCCTTCTTGCTTTGAGTCTGCCCAAACTATTCCTAGATACACAGTTCTTACATCCCTGATTCTTTGTCTTCATGAGCTTTTAAAGTTGTTTTACTATCCCTCTCCCTGAAACAACTCTTCTCTTTGTCTAGTAATAAGAGCTATGTTGTCCATTTACCTTAGATGTATTTGATACAAGTTCATCTAGAATCACATTTTCTCATAAAAAGAAAGAAAAGTCCCCTGCCCTGTGCCCTCCGCCCTGCACTCTTTGCTAAAGTGTAGTTTATACACCTCTGTGTACAAGTTATAGTCAGTTACAAGAAAGTTGATACAAGTTAGTCAAATGCAATGTCAGTTCCAACTCATCCCCGTTCATTAGAGGTGGTATGGTAGCCAGTAAAAATGGGTTATTTGGCAGGAAATTGACATTGTAGTCTCCAGCAAAAGATGAGAAATGGGCAAATTCTTTGCCTGTTCTCAAAAGAGAACTTCATGTTAACTTCTGTGGATGTATTTGAGATGTGTTGTGCATTCTGATGAGGAGGCCAGTGGGTGATGTATGTTTTCCTCAATTCAAGCTTGAAACCCAGGATTAAAACTGAACTTTACTCTTTTTTCATGGGGTAGCATAGGTCCAAATATTTACTTAAAACATTATATTTTTATTCATTACAATTTTTATTTTAAAATTTTTATTCTTTACGATCTCTCTAAGTTACAAACAAACAAACTCAACTTGAAAGATGCATCCCAGTTGGATTTCTGAAACGAAGCCAGCATCTCTTATCTCATGACCCTGAAGTTTTCTCCAAGGATGCTCCTCTGCACTGAACTTCACTCACAAAGAAAACAGTTCCCGATCACCCCTTTCCTTCAAATGACCGTATTAAATCTTAAGATTCAGTAGGAAAAGTTACTGGCAAGTTGAGAATAAATGAGAACTGCTTCCCGGTGTAGTAAAGTGAGACTGTCTATCAGGGTCCTTCTGCTTCTTGGCTTGAGATCTTAAAGAGCTTGAGCACTAAAGGTTAGGGGACTGGGAGTAGGTGGAGATAAATCATGATACTCTTCACTCTTTCTTACTGAGAATTTTCTGTTGGGTCAGACTGAACCTCCTGTTTATCATAGACAAGATTTTCTCAGACCACCACCAATTGAGAAAATGTGAATGTCTGTGAAGGCCAGAACATCCTTAAGTAATGTATGTGCACATGTTATTTGTACCTCATTGCAAAGGCACTGAGCCTTTGCAACTGACTCAAAGAACTTTGTCACTCAAAGGTCTTCTGAGAGTTACTGACTTGAGCTGGCAATTCCAAAGAAGCATCTTCCTTAGGAAAAACAAAACAAAACAAAAAAGACAAAAAAAAAAAAAACCCCCACAAACATTAAACAATAACTTTGAAGTTCACAGGTAACTAACGAACCAAGCCAATATAATATGCTGCAAATATTTTCCAATAGATCTCTTCTCATCTCAAAATAAGGTTTCTCTAGCATCCTCCTACCTCTCCCTATGGCATTCAAGCTGTTTTTCAAACGTCTTGGTAGGCAGGTTTGCTTTTAAAAGCCTGTTGTTTCTAGGTGAGGTTTTCTGAATAAGTTGTGAAATGTCATTATGTATACCTGGCTTTAGTGTTAAAGATGAGTGAAGTCAGAACTAGTAGTAGGGAATGCAGTGCAGGTGAGCTTCCCATAACCTTCATTCGCTGTAATAAACATACACACTTGTACACATGCACACACATGCACACATGCACACCTACACACATTCACACATGCACAAATACACACATACATACATATACACATGCACACATACACACATATGCATGCATATGCATGCACACAGTGCACTATTGAAGCTGAAGGACAAAGATCTGGAAATGTTTAAAAGGCATCATTATCCCTAAGCAAGTCAGATCTGTGAGCCTAAGAAGCCAATGATGAATGATCAATCTATGCAGTTTTCCACAAGCATTTTTAAACCATGAGTCAGAATTCAGTGTCTGAAAAGAGCATTTTAGCATTCCCAGCCACATGGCTTTCTCGTTTGACTTTATTAGGCAAAAGAAGACTGATTTTTTGGCTGCTCTCTTAAAAGGGGTGACAGCAACCACACAGAACTAACAGGGACAGTAATGACAGGTGTCAGAGGGTATTGATCAGACTAAAGAGTCATTGGTGGTTTTCTGATGAAGTATCAATCATAATGAATAGATGCTTTTACACCCAAACATGGGAATAGGCTACACTATGTCATTTTAGCCTGTAATAGAGAGAAGAGCGGCTGTTTAATTTTTGAAAGATAGGCTAAATCATTTTGTTGCACTCTCTGTTTGCTTATTGAAATGGGAATATTTGCCACAGCCTACATTTTAGTAGTTACTGAGAGACTTGGCGGGCTCCATCCTAAATATTGTGTGCTATTTCATTTAATCTTTTCCACAGTCCTCTGAGGAGGACTTGCATTTCTCACTTTTACAAAAAAGAATAATAATTTTCATAAAGTCTCCCAGCAGGTGAGGGAGCAGCTCCCCACGGTTTCTTCGACTGAGTCTGAACATTTGACCAACATGAATTTGCTTGGAGTTCTAAGAAGATCCCCAACCTGGCCCCAGCATCTCATTGACTTATCTCTGCTTTCAATCACAGAGGAGTGTTTTTGTCGATTCGTAATCTATCCATAGAGTTGGAAAAGAAAATGAATTGGGAACAGATTCTGAGCTGCAAACCCCTGCTAAAGATAATCTACTCAGAAAAACAAACAAACATCCAAAAAGGATCCATTAGCCAGGTGGAAGTCAAATGTGATGCTGTCTGTCTTGGTTATTGGTTTATCATGTTGAAGTATAAATTAACCAGAAAGTTCAGCAGAAAGATGTTGTAATGTAGGACAAATATCAAAATTTCATCCGCAGCATCCAAATTTTGGTCCTCACATAAATAATAACATAATACCGTTTAACCAGTTTGCAATGGAGCAAAAACCCTCTCCCTCCTTCCCTCCCTCCCTTTCTCTCTCTCTCTCTCTCTCTCTCTCTCTCTCTCACACACACACACACACACACACACACACACACACACACACACACACACACCAGGTTTTGTATTTGTTTCCCTGTACAACTAAGGGGAAAAAACAAGTATACAAACAAAATAGCAAAAACTGTTTAAAAAAAGAAAATCATAGTAGCTTGGTTTCCTTTATTTTTTTTTTTAACACATTATTTCAATTTTTCAAGTGTTTCAGCTTTAAGAGTTTTCTCATATTGTCTCTCCCCGACTTTTCACTGCCGGGATAGAGACATAAAATTTTGTCTCAAACAAATGAAATTTTCACTAAAATTATGTTTTGCAGGCCCC